TCTTCTTCTTCATCATCTTCTTCTTCATCATCTTCTTCTTCTTCTTCTTCTTCTTCTTCTTCTTCTTCTTCTTCTTCTTCATCATCATCATCTTCATCATCTTCATCATCTGGAAGCTATGGGCTCTCTATATTTGATTTATTGCTTGGGACTGGATAATGAGAGACTCCTCACCGGAAGCAGTAGATTTGGGGATCCTTCCTGGTGACTCTGTAGAGGCCATTCTGGCAGCCTGGAATGATGGGCTGGCTGGTGCTCCTTGGCACACTCTTCCATCCTCTCTTAGGTCTCTTAGGGTTACCAGACAGTTTGGGGATATGAAGAAGGCAATTGCAGCTACATTGGTGGAAGCTTGAGATGATTCAGACAGAGCACTCCGTAGAGCCCATTTACAGGTCTATGAGGGGATGGTGATGGCAGTGAGGAAGGCTTTCGTCTCCATTGCCATTCCATCGGCAGAATCTCATCCAGCTCAGTTGTTTAGAGTGGTTCATAACTTGAAAACACCTAAGTCTGACCCCATGATTGACGTTAGCTTGGCCCCTTGCTGTGATGTTTTTGTGAAGTTCTTCAACAAAATCTCTCTCAACTGACCTCACTTGGCCAAGTGGAGAGCAGATCTGGTACTTGGAGTGTCAGAAGCACACCTGCTTGTCTTGCTGTTATGGACAGATTCCGACTGATCTTGCTCGGATGCTGGCAGGGTCCTTGGGAGTGCGAGAGCCACCACTTGTGCTCTTGACCTGTGCCTGTCCTGGCTTTTAAAATCATGCTGGGAAAACGTATTGGAGCCATTGGAGAAAATCACAAATGCTTCGTTGACTAAGGGGGCTCACTCTATACCAGGGGTCTCCAGCCTTTTTGAGCTGGCAGGCACCTTTGGAATTCTGACAGAGGGAGGTGCAGCCAGCTCCAAAATGTTAGGGAGTGCGGTCATGTGTAACTCTAATAGTAAATATTTAACATTCCAGGCAGAAGCTCTGTTTTAATTGGATGCCTTTGTAAATGAACATGCTGTTTAAAAACATTTTCGTGCATACACACAGCTTACCTTCATTCGTGCTGTGAAGAACCTTATGCTGTGGTGGCAATGCCAAAGTAACTTTTTAAAAATCTGCACTGCCAGTCAGGGGCCCTTCTGGGCAAAAGCTTCACCTGGCCCCACCCACTTTCTAAAAACACTTGGGTGCCATGAAAGCTGTTGTCAGGTGCCCCCTGCTTTGCTTAAAAAACCTTCATTGGCTAAGGGTGAGGTGGCCAGTTATAGGCCAGCCTCTAGTGTACCTTTTCTGGGAAAGGTGAAGGAGCATGTAGTGGTGGTGGAGCGACTCTCAGGGTTCCTGGATGACACATCTGCCCTTGACACATTTCATTTCAGCCTGGATTTGTACCGGTGGATAATCTTCTTTTAAAGTTGAACATGGACAGTCATCCGTATTGATACTTAGAGCTGTCAGCAGCCGTTGACATAGTTGACCCCACTCCATGCTTATCCATCAGCTGGAATTGGTGTTAAAGGAGTAGCATAGTCTTTGGTCGTTCTGTTCTGTCGAATTGGAAACAGAGTACAGCTTGGGATGCTCCATGGACCCAGCCTTGCAGGATTAAATGCAGGCTGGCACCTTTTATCAGCTGAATCTGGTTTGACAACTTTCTCCTTTCTTAGCCTCAGCTGCTCTGGTTGGATTACTGTAAATGCTCTACACTGGGCCACTTTTGAAGACAACCCAGAAACTGCCGCTGGTTTAGAATGTGGTGGCCAATTACTGCTGGGAATAGCCGATGGGAACATATATTGCCCGTTCTGAAACAACTTAATTGGCTGCCAGTTTGTCTCTCAGTTCAGTTCAAGTTGCTGGTTATGACCTTTCATGCTTGGGGCTCATGTACCTGAAGGATAATCTCCTTCCTTCTGTTAGCCAGCACAAACTATGGTCTTCAGCCTACTTGTTGGCTTTTCCCCTCACTCAAGGTGGCCCACCCGCTGTCAATCAGAGCCTGAATCTTTTCCATTGTGGCCCCCACATTGTGTAATGGGCTCCCTGAAGAAAAAAATTGGTTAAAAAATTCTGCTTAGTATTGCACTGTGTAGTCCCAGTGACGTGTAGCAGGTTAGGTTTTGAAACAGAGTCCTTCAGCTTGCTGTTCTGAATTTGGCTGTATTCACCCTAAACAAGTCGATGTTGCTCTGAGTATGTCTGCAAGAGTCTTTCTTCTCAGTTGCTGTTTATATGTCAATTTAATACTCATCTATTTCATAGCCACCTGGCTTCCGAAGAAAACACCCAGCAGGCAACGGTCATTTTCAGCTTCTCCACCACCTTCTACCCACAAGCTGTCATCTGAATTGGAAGATGCATTCTGGAGAGATGGAAAAGGGCCAACAGGGAAAATACGTAATCACTTGCAAAAGGAACATGACCAGAGGAAGCTAAGAGCAAAGGTAATGGCAACAGGATTGCAGATGCACCTAGATAAGTGAAAGCTCTCTATAGTCCCAGTAGCCCAAACAGTCAACGTTATATCAGCATTGTAGAGGCTGCACAGAGGCTTGTTGCACTAGAGTGTCGCTCAGCCTTCCTGTTGTTGTTTTTTAATTCAGAACCAGGATTAGGGATATCTTTGTGTCGGATTGATCTGATGCTTGCCTAGAAACACCACGGTTTTTCTGGAGGTGTGCTGGGGCATGAACTGTTCAGAAAACATGTTCACTGCATCTTGGAATTTTTTTTTGTTTGATAGTAGGTTTTTTGTTCATTTCATTCCTTTACATATAGGCTACTTAACTCAGGCGGGTACAGACAAGGGTGTCTCGGGCCTTAACCACATTCTTCGTGTGTTGTGTGTGTTTGGTACTATCCAGTGGGCAACAACATCTTGGTGGTGGCAGTTGTTGATGAATAGCCCTCAAGACACATGGCTGTACCAGTTTGGCATTTTTAAACTATTGCTTTCTGCCTAGAAGACTTCTGGGGTTTAAAGGCAGTATATAAACTATTAGTCAGTGCTGTCTGTGTTAGACTTCCCAGTATTTGCATTCAGAACAGGTATAATCCTGACTTTCTGTCCAAGATTGCTCATGAGTAGACATAGATTGCTGCTTTCTATGAATGGCTTCCTTCAAACTTCTTATACTGTGGGCAGTTGTGGATTTGTTGACATTCTCTTATTGTATAGTATGGTTGTTTTAAGTTGTTCCCTTAAGTTAAAAAGCCTTTGCTTTAGTTTCACTTTTCACTTTTGTTGTTGGCTGCTGGTGGTGGCTGGTTATGGCCTAGCAGGACCCAGACAAGGCCTCGCTTATGTTTAAATAAAGTTCTGTTCTCTTTTGGTACTGGGTACAATTAAGTTACATAAGAACATAAGAGAAGCCATGTTGGATCAGGCCAGTGGCCAATCCAATCCAACACTTAGTGTCACACAGTGGCCAAAACCCAGGGACCATCAGGAGGTCCACCAGTTACTATTAATATATTTATTCACTTTTTTCTTATGGATGGTAACAGGCTTTATCTTGCCTTTCAGCTGTTGACGAAAGCCTATGAAGATGAACTTAGAGCTTATGAGGCTAGTGAAAGAATCGAACTTGCAAAGCAAAAAGCAAAGATCAAGGAAATGGTAAGGGAGAGCATGAAGTAACAAACTTGACAAGAGAAATACGTATTTTTTTGTGCTCATATCTGCTTTCCTGGGATTCTAGAGAAGGGTTCCCTGTCTTTCAAAAGGGTTTATACTTTTAATTTGCAACACAGTACAGAACTAAATTATTAAGTAAAGTCATGGCAGCATTCTTTGCAAGAGTATAACTTTTGCATCAGTGGAATGCACAAAAGTAGGCATCTTGAGAAAGTAGTTAAGCATTTTATTTTGGAATTTTAGTGCTGTCTTAAAATTGTTAATACTGCTGAAATTCTCAAGAAGTATTGATTGTACTTGACCAAATTAAAACAGATGCCTACTTTTCCATTAATGCATTATTATCTGTGTTATTAGGATTTCTCAGAGAGTTAATGCGAGGAGTTCACCTGATAATTTAATCAGTGCTTCCATTTTGTAGGCTTTTTGTGAACAATCTGACTAGAAAATGAATGTTATCAACACTGGAAAAGACCAGAACAGAAGTGGAGAGGGGTTAGAGCATCCTACCTGTTTGGCCTCATTCAAACACTTGCATGCATCCTACTTATTAATGAGAGGCACTTTTTTTTACCCTGTCTGGGTCTGTATTTTCTGCCTATAATCTTAATGCAATGAACAGACAGCAAGACATTGTACAGTGCAACAACCAGTGCACAGAGAGCCTTGAGTCAATATTACTTCTGCATCCTCGGTTTGCTCTACTGTACAGATGTTCAGAGGCTTTTATTGTTGTTACAGACTCCTGCACAGGAGTAACTGTTATCCGTGTGTATTTACATCTAGGAACAACTATACAAGGAGAGCTTATTTAAAGAACCTCCAAGTGTGTCACGGCCTGCAGAGGTTTACTCTAGAAAAACGGTACCTAGGAATCTCAAACTCAGCCAGCGGATTTCACGAGGAGGATTTGTAAAGCCAAAGAAAGCAGCTCCAAGTAAGAACCACAGGCTTCTACTTGGTAGAACACTGGGCACCTTTTGAAGGCATGGGCTGGAGTCTAAGACTTCTGTAAGGGAAATCATTAACTAAGACTGAACCATGGATGCACAGGTCTAGCCATGGCCCACCTTGGACCCTGACAGAGACCATCATGGCTTAGGTACTTTTTCTTAGTGGCTTCCCAGGGTTGCCACTTTCTGAAAAGTCAGGGAAATGGGTCAGATGTCAGGGAACATGTGATTCAGGCATACTTTTGGAATGCCGCTGCAAGAGGACAGTCTGAACTTGTGGCAATAGGATCAGAGAAGTGGCAGACTACAAGTGTAATGTAGTGATGCACCCATGTTCCATAATTTGATTATATGATTTTGAAAATGTTTATGGCTGATGGTTGTTAACAATAAAACAGAATAAAATGAACTTGTAAGAGAGAGCATTATTTTAGGGAGAAGCTGATTGGCTTCTTGCAACTTTTTCGTATTTAAACAAACTGAAATGAGTTTCAGTTGTTTTGAAGATGGGAATATTTTGACAGGTTGGCAAATTGTGCTTTATTTCTTCCAGCCAGCTGCAAAGTCCAAGCATGTCACAATGTTACTCTCAACAACGAATTTGGCAATGGTTTAGAAACCAGACCTTGTAATACAGAATTATGTTAACAAAGACTATTTTAAAATGTTAATTTTAAATGGTAATTTACTATTTATTTATTATGTATTTATTTCATTCAATTTGTATCCCACCCTTCCCACCATAGCAGGCTCAGGGCGGCTCACATTAAAAGTTAAAAAACAATAAAACAACAATTCATTACATACACATTATCTTAAAATTCATACTCGTTACAAATAGCAAATCACAAATAAATGCCATTAAGAACAGTCAAAGGGCTAGTGACGGTAGCGATGGCCATGATGTAGCAAAAGTGTGGCCAGAGGATGTTACTATTGACACCGCAGGCAGTTGCCGTTGTCATGACAACCTTATCCCAGTTCAATGTTGTGGGTAGCAGCTCCTATTTGAAGGCCTGGTCATGGAAGAACTCCATTTTGCAGGCCCTGCAGAACTGTAAAAGGTCCTGCAGGGCCCTGATGTCTTCTGAGAGCTCATTCCACCAGTATGGAACCACTACTGAGAAGGCCCTGGCCCTAGTGGAGGCAAACCGGCATCTTTTGGTCCGGGTAGGGTCAGGCGATTTTGAAACCCCAGCCTCATTGCTCTCTGGGGAACGTGCAGGGAAACTCTATGTATATTGTTTAGCATACAGACCTGTCTGTACTTCTATACAAAGGAAAATTACAGTATTTCTGTTATGAGACAGGCATTAGTATATACACTTTACATAAAGAAGATGACAGCTAGTCAACAGAAGAAAAGTATCAAGCCAGTTTTCCATAATGTTCAAGAAAGCAATAGTTTCCAGTTCACTGAGCATTGCATCCAGGCATATTTCTTGTAGGATGCTTGAGGGTCTTAGCCTGGAGCTGATGGAAGCATTTTATGTTTATGTAAAATAGAGTTCAGACTTTGCACTTTTCAGGGGTCTACATCTGTACCCTTAACATTTGCCACAAACTCAGTCGAAAAATGTGCGTTTTCCTAATGGCACTGACAAACAAAAAGGGGGGGGGGCACAAATAGGACTATAGGAAACTGCTTGGGACCCAAAGAAACACATTTAGTCAGCCTTATTCAGAGCACCCACTAGCTGCAGCCCAAGACAGTCACACAGTTTCATGTAAGCTACAAATTATCCATTTACCTTACATACAAGGTTTAAAGTTAAGTATTGAGCAGGTGTCAACAGACAATTTCCTAGCCCTCCAACACCAAATAGACAGACAGCACAGAGCTCCACGTGTTGGGGTTGTGAAGGGAATGATACACATGAGACGGAGCTTTTGCCCTGCTAAACCCAGAGCTGAGTTAAAGCTTGCTTTTATCGGCTTCCTCTAAATTTAGTGCTGTCTTATGCTATTTGTTTGTTTTGTATTTTAAGTGGCTTTCATATTTGTATTCATAGTTTTTACATTTGAGTGTTGGGAGTAAAAGCTGAAAGTGCAGGAGGTGTTTTGAAACAAGCATGTACTGGCCTGCAGCACAAGATGGAGGCAGCGTGAATACTGGGGCGGAGGCTGCCTCTGAGAAGAGCTCCTGACCTTGTTCTCTAGACCTTGTTGTTTACTTCTAGTTTTCTCTTGCAGTGAAGGTCAAGGAGAACAACCTCCTGCCTCTTCTAATGGAGGAGTTCCCCCACTTGCACATTTCCCGCCCAACCATGAACAAGATGTGGCAGCAGCAGCTTGCGCAGATAGAACTCCTGAAGTCTCCCAGCAACAGAACCCAGCTGAAACTCCAAAATGAAGTGAGTTACATGTCCACAGTTAGAGCAAATTATCATAATATATATGGGAAAGAGATCTCCAGACCTGTGCTGATTGGTTTCTTCTCGTAGTGGAGACTTGGCCGCTCTAACTTTCCTAGGCCATGATTTGGACTTTGAGCAGTTTTTTTTCTACAAGGAGTCACTTCTGAAATCTGGCTCACACGTACTGAGGTTGAAGTGCTAGCCATATTCCTCCTGTCCTTGTTAAAAAAGAGAAAGCAGTTCCTTTCTTCTTTCCCTGGAGCTAAAATGTCTCCCTCCCCAAGAACTGTCACCTTTTAGTTGTTTATTTCTTATTCCATATATGGAGATTTCTGAGAGAGGCCATAGATCCAATTCTGCCTGGCAAAGAAGGAAATAAGACATTTTCTTGAAAAGAGCTACATTAGATTGTAGGAAGTGGAAACCCGCAAGGATTTATGGGAGGTATCCCACTTCCCCCACCCATACTATCTCCCCTTTTCATTCCCTGAAAACCCCCTTAGCCCTCTTCCTATTTCCCTCCAGCTTGCAACTCCCATATCCTCACCCTTCTCGGCTTCCCTTTCTCCTTCTCACCCACCAAGTAATCTACTTTTTAATCTCCCCTCCCATCTTAAGCTAAACAAGGTTGCACTTACCTGTAACCATTGTTCACTGAGTGGTCTTCTGTGCAGGCCAACCATGGGCACGGCTACCAAAGCTTTCTAGTAGACTAAGATCGCCCCTCCTCCCTCTGGTCCTTTCACGCCAAAACAATCACATGACCAGGAGGAGAGGTGCTACTCCCTCAGTTCTCTCCATACCACCGCCAGAGAGACCAAGAAACTAAGGTTCCAGAGAGTTCACAGCGGGGCAGGAGAGAAGGATGTGTGTTTGCACAGAAGACCACTTAATAAACAACAGTTACAGGTAAGTGCAACCCTGTTTTCATTGTTGTGGCTTCTGGGCAGTCCCACATTCCAGAGAGTTCACAGCGGGGCAGGAGAGAAGGATGTGTGTTTGCACAGAAGACCACTTAATAAACAACAGTTACAGGTAAGTGCAACCCTGTTTTCATTGGGCAGTCCCACATTGGGAGATTAGCAAGCTCACTGAATGGAGGTGGGTGTAAAGTCCTCAAAGAAAGAGACTATGGAGATCCATCTTCCCAACATCCCCTATTGTTTAGCATCCCCTATTGCCAACCAAAATACACGCAGGAACATGGCAAAGAAAACCAGCACTCTTTTGGAGAAAGCTGTGATACGTAAAGTGGCATTGAACAGCCATGCAAACAAGACAGAGTGTGGGCTGTGTGAGGATGCTGACCAATCCTTCTTGGAGCCTGAGAGACCAATACAAAGTACTGTTTTGTCTCCAATGGACCAAAACCCAAGAAAAATCACATTCAGGGAAAGTAAGGAGTGTACAGATGTTTGGCATCAGAAACAAGTGTCAGGATAGTGTTGTGAGAAATGAGGGCCAACAGGCAATTCTTGATAGGGGATCTTGGCTAGGGCATCGGACACCCTAACCTTGTGAAACTTTGTGATTGGAGGGGATACAGGTTATAACTGACAGTGTCCACATTCCATGGCTGGAAGTGCTGCCAATTAAAAAAAAAAACCTATTCTAAATGAAGCACCAGGGAAATGCAAAAAATCAAATGAGGGCTTATCCCTCTGTTATGAAATCCAGAAATCCAGTAAGAAAGATGAAAGCTTGAGTCCCAACCAGTGGCCAAAACATAATCAACAGCACAAGAAGCAGGGTCCAAACCCGTTACAGCCTCAGTAGAGACTCTTTTCCCTTTAAAGGTGCAAGATTGTAGTGAAGGAGTGGTGCTTGTGCTATGCTTGCTCAATATTGGCTCCAAGTCAAATCCAAAAGAAGCTATTTATTGAAGTCTCAGCCCAATAGCAGTAAAAACACACCACACAGCTATACCACGTTTCCTCCCTTTCTTATCGCATAACATAGCTCTTCATCCAAACAAGTTGTCATCTCGTTCTCGCTTCCTTTTTCTTGACTGCTACAGCAGATGGTATATCTTGAGATGATGATGATGGTAATGTCTCTTGAGACGTTCCAGCTGAAGACCTGAATTGACCCTCATAATCAGGCCCAACCTCATCTTGGATTACTGGTAACAAAAAAGAGTTATCTGGCTCAGAACCAGTTTCACTCCCACTAGGATACACAGGTACCAAATGGGAAGCATTCCATAACATGGCCATCCAACAATCTATAGGTATATGGTCCTTTTTTCTCCACAGTCTTAAGAGGCAAGGTAAATTTATGTTCTCCCTTCCGCAGGAACCCAGGTCTTCATACTCTAACAAATGAACCACACTCTAATTTAATGTCCTTAGCACCCTGTGTTTATCCATATAAACCTTATACATCTCTTGCTTCTGAACAACTCTTTCTCTCAAGCTAGTTTCTAACAATACATCAAACCTTACTTTTGAAAATCCAGTAACATTTAACTTAGTATGCATCTGTCTCCCATGTAATAATTCTGCTGTCAATCTTTGTGTTGTGGTATGTCGTGTTCCCCTACACTTGCAAAAAATCAGTAGTAAAAGTAGTCCATGCCTTCCCTCCCTTCCAGTCTAGCTGTCTGCAAACTATCTTTCAAACTTCTATTAAATCATTCAGTTTTGCTTGCGAATAATACACCAACAATGTATAATATTTCATTCCACAAGAAAAATTTGGGACTGCTCAGAAGCCACAACAAGTAATATTTATAATTTATTTACATCCTGTCTTTCTCCATAATGGGGACCCAAAACAGCTTATGTTATTCTTCCCTCCTCCATTTTATCTTCACAACAATCCTGGCTCAAAGTCACCCAATGAGCTTCCACAGTAGAGAGAGAATTCTAACCTGAGTCTCCCAGCCCCTAGTCTGAAACTTGATCCAATATACTACTCTGGCTTTTGTGGGTTAGCTCCTGTTGAACAATAGTAAGCAGCTGGGCCTGGGTGAGTCATAGAACTCACATTGTATCAGTTCACCCAATGGTAGCTGGCAATAAATCCTCCCTCAAAAACCAGAACAACCCTGGAAAGAGCCTGGCCCCTCCCCCTCCCCCTGCCTTTGACTGACAGAAACCAAGCCTGAATCGCTAGCCAAACTATTGTAGTTGCCAAGCAACAGCCACTGAGGGCATCCATTTCTGAAAGACAAAGGTGCTCTTTTTTACCATTTTTGGTTTTTCTAACCCCCATCCCAATGTTTTTCTTTTTTCTGCAAACCTGGGACATTTTTCATGTTTGAAGATCTGTCTTGTCTGTTCAGAGCTTCAATCTCCAGATTTGATTTAAGTATCCTCAGATGAGCCGGATTGAGAATCAAAATATAGACGTGATAGTTGCAGGGGATCCCTTCCTTCTGTTAGCCTTCTCCCCTGCCCCTGGTTGCTGCCTGCTGCAGCTTTTGGCCCCTGTCATCACTGTTGCCAGGCCCCCTCACTGTCACCACTGCTGCAGGACCCAGTATGGCTCCCAGCTACCCCCTGCCATCACTGCTGCCGGTGGCAAACCCTGTGTGGCTCGAGGCCCTTGATGCCAGTCCTGCTGTGGCTTCCCTTATCACCCCCCCCCCACCCGCAATCACTGCTTTTCAGCAGTGAGTCCAGTGTGGCTCCTGCTGGGCCCACTGCAGCTTTCTTCACACACACCCCAACTTTGTGGCTCCTTTCTAGTCTACCAGAAAGCTTTGGAAATCATTTCCATGGCTGGCCTGCACATATGCTGTCCTAGTGTGGACTGCACAGAAGCCACAGCAATGAGTATTTATTATTTTATTTACATCCTGTCTTTCTCCCCAGTGGGGATCCAAAGCATCTTTATGTCATTCTTCCCTCCTCCATTTTATCTTCACAACCACCCTGGCTCAAAGTCACCCTATGAGCTTCCACTATTCACCCTGCCATGAACCCAGTATGGCTTCCGGCCTTTGCTGCCAGCCTTCCAAGGTTCCTCTTCCCAGGCCCACTGACAGATGAACAGGAGGTAGGTGTGTTGTCTACACATGTGCAAGCAATGCTTTCATTTGGGGGGATTAACCCCCCCTCCCATGTATTTCTTAAATGTTTTTTAGATTTTTCTGCAAACCTGGAGAATCCCCCAAGTTTGCAAAAATTTCTGTTTTTAGTCAGTGTGGGCTGATCTGCAGATATAAGTATCCCCAGGTGAGACCACATTTGACTATTAGAATATAAGATATAATGGTGTGCTGGAAACTTAGAGGAAACACAGCCTTTCCCCCCTTCCTTTCAGGTAGTAGAAGCCCTGAAGAAGCATGACCTCCTCGTTGAGCTCATTAAGAAGGAGCAGGCGCATAACAAGAGACTGGTATGTTTGGGTGATCCAGCCCTGGCCACGCGGCATAGGAACTATGAGGTGTGAGAGCTGATTCGGGCAGACTGGTGCAAACTGTGTGACTCTTCCAGCCAAGTGCAATTGATCAAGTCCACCCTGACCACCGGGATCATACTAATCTTTTGATTTTTTCCCTGCAAGCCCGGTCATGCAGATACAGGTCAGTTGTTGAGCACAGGGGCAATAAATGGCTGGGTAGGCTGTGTTCAGCTTGGTAGCTTACAAATTCTGCAGGCCAAGTCTAGCCAAACCACTCATCTGATTAGAAGAGTGTGCTGCCACACTGCACCCACACTGCACCAAGGCTGGAGCTCTCTGGGTAAGAAAAAGGAGAACTGGACTCTTGAAAAATTGCTTACTCATGGTCTAGCTCCATTATAGGGTGGGTGAATGAAATTCCCATATTCCAAGTATTTGTCTTTCAAGCCATTCTAGATAAGTGATCTGAACTCCCTTCTTTTTAACGGAACTTGTTTGGTGTTTCTTTCAGCAAGATTTCAAGCAACGTATTCATTATCAGAAATGTGGCCAAAATAAAATGAGAGAGAGACATCAGCAAATCATCAGAGCGAAAAAGTACTACCAAGATTACAGAATTCAACTGCGGGCTAAGATGATGAGGGCCAGGACCCGTGAGGAACGGGTAAGTAAAGGACCCTTCCTTCCCAGGAACCAGAATTACTTTTCTGTAGAAGGGCCACCCTAGATTCTTATTAGCATCACTGTGTTCAAACTTGGTCTGTGTTTAGAAGTCTCCGGTGGTGGCATGGCTACAGCTGTGGGTGCCAGTAACTGACAGTTGGCATAGGAAGTGGCTAACAGGATGAGCTGGGATCTGGGAGGTCCTCATTTTAAATCTTAGTTTTGCTGTAACCTCAGTAGATGGCTTCAGTCTACAATTTAGAGATAATACCAATCTACTTAAGGTAATGTACCTGAAGTGCTTTTTAAATTCAGCACCTTTCCGTAATCAATCATGTGCCTAGGCTGCCACCGTGTGACCCTATTTCAAGCTAGCAACATTCCTGTGTGACAAAATAGGCATTCTTCAATTATTGTAGCTTGGGAGCTAGCCACAGGAGGGCACCAGCAGCACCCTCACCATGCCAGTACCTAGGAGTGATCTTTTTACAGCATTCTGACAGGTGGTTTGAGAATGCACAGAGGGGCTACCACAACACAGCCGGAAGAGTGGCATAACTTCCCACACAGTACTTTTGTGTTCTAGCAGCTGTCACCTTGAGTTTTCAACTGCACAGCCATGCTCAAATAGATGGTCTTTTATATTTCTCTCTCCCTTTCCCATCTAAATTCTTAATCTCATCTATGGCACAATTGGTCCCTTTTGGACAGGAATTTAGTTTACGCATGAGTAGATTTACAGTTGCTTTCCTAGTTCATAGTGCTCCTTTTCTAAACTGTCTCCCCACAGCAGTGGCACATCAGTAAATAGTAGCTTGAGATTCTGAATATCTGTGTCTCTTCTGAGTCTCTAGAATTTTGATTTTCACATACTTTAGTTCTCCATCCACAAACTACAGCCAAAGATAAAAATGTCACGCTAATGTCAGGGTTGTTAACATTAATCTGCAGATTAAACCTCTGAAAATTCAGCACTTAACTGATGGTACGATTAAGAGCTGAGATCAAACTTGTCTTTTTTTTTTAAAGTTATTGTGGTACTGTAGCACAGAATAAGAACTTTATTCAGAGAATGAATTGTAGTCTTAACTTTAGGATTAAATTAATAAATTAAGTTCCCATACTTGCAGCATTTCAAGGTACCTTGTTTGAATCATGTCTTAAATTGTTAGCCAAATTAGTTGATAAACTTATTACCACTGATCGTTGTTACTCAAGGAGATCCCATCTTGATGATGTAATTTAGACACTGAACTGCCGACCAGAAGGTCAGTAGTTCAGCAGTTCGAGACCCGAGTGCCGCATGACGGAGTGAGCTCCCATCTCTAGCCCCAGCTCCTGCCAACCTAGCAGTTCGAAAGCAAGAAATTGCAAGTAGATAAATAGGTACCGCTTCGGTGGGAAGGTAACAGCATTCCGTGCACCTCGGCGTCTAGTCATGCTGGCCACATGACCACAGAAACGTCTTTGGACAGCGCTGGCTCTTTGGCTTCGAAACGGAGGTGAGCACCGCATCCCTAGAGTTGGATTCGACTGGCTTTCGAGCAAGGGAAACCTTTACCTAGGAAAATGAACAACGGTTTCCAGTACCACCAGTGTTGGCGACTACCGGTTACTGTCTTCTGCCTCTGCTCCTGAAAGCTCTTCTTTACTGGTGCAACAGCTGTAAGAGTGCCACCATCTGGTTTGGAAAACTTACTTCCTTGGAATAGAGAGCCATCCAGAAAACCCTTTACACTTACAGAGTTAAGGATAGTGGAGGAGCCTTGATAAAATCTCCTCCTTCTCCCTTAAAATCTCCAGCAACAGAAAGAACAGATAGTAATGTAGCCCCCGATTTTTGAAAACAAAACTTTATTAGAGTGAGAAAATCAGTGTACAACAGAGGCAGGGATGAGACAAGCTGGAGCAGGGAAGCCAAACAAGGTCTAAACAAAATCAAATCTGATGCATGTACATCCCCCATGCCCTGTGTTAATCTTACATCTCTAAAGCTCTTTGTGGTTTAGCTGCCTGCCTCCCTAGGACAGTTTCTGCTTCTGTGCGGAATCTCATAAAATGCATGCAGAAGTTGCCATGATTCTGGGATTTAGAGTATTTGGCTGAGTGTTGCCCCCCCAATTGAGGTGCCATTGGTGATGGGCAGCTGATTTGGGAAATGCCAGTTGTTTGCAATTGGTTTTGGAGAAGGGGATGAGGTTTTTCTCATCTCCACTGATAAAAACCTTCTGCTATTAACCAGATAGAGCTGTTCAAGGCAAAGATGTTGCAAGAATGTGATAAGAATTTTGCCTCCCTCTGGCTTGATGCCTTAGGGTTTTATTAACACAGAGCTCCCTTTTTATTTATGGCTGTGTTTGTCATTTTGTTTGACAGATATTTAAAAACCTGTTTGAAGAAGGTTTGGATATTCAGAAGCGAAGACTGCATGAACTGAGAATGTATGCCAAGGATAAGCGTGCTGAGCAAATGAGACACCACCAGGCAGAGCTGGAGTCCATGGAGAACTACTACAAGGATCAGGTAGACTCATTCATTCCTATAATACAAGAATGTTGCTTAGTCGACCTTGCACATGATTAACTCTTCTTGTGTTGTGTTTAGTTTTCAATGCTGGCTGAAGCAGTTTCAGAAGAACGTAAACAAATTGAAGCCAGAGAGAGAGCACATGCACAAGTAAGATTCATCAACTTTCAGAACTAGTACTAAATTAAGCTTCCAAACTAATACTAAATTAACCAACTCCTTGACTTATTGCCAATGGTTTCTTACAGACACTGAACAAAGTGAAGTGTGAATTTAGATCGAAGATGGAGAATGAGATCCAGGAGCTGCAGGATGTGATCATTCAGAATGATGATGATTCATTCTTCCGTGAGCTAGAAGCTGATCGCCTCAGATCTAGACTTCAGATGGCTTCTTTCCAATATAGCAAAAACTGTCACTTCTTTTGAAGAGTTTTGGGGAGGGGGTGCTTATGAACAGCTTGATCTGCTGTTTAGAAGTGGGCCTTGAATCTTGTTTGCAGTGCCTGGCACTGAGACTATTTGTCATTTTAAAAGATTTTTTAAATAAAAGTTTGGTAATTGCACCTAAATGCCTCTTCAAACCTTTTCCCACAACTACAAATAATCGACAATGTATGAAAATCCAAAGTGAGTTCATTTAGAAAACACATTAGCTCAGTGCAGAAAGTTTAATGCATCCCTGTCCAAACCTGAATTCAAGTGTGATAAATAGTTTGCAACAATTACTCTCTGTTCAAATCATATGTTGTATTATTGTGGGTGAGGAGGAGTTTGAGATTGGGGGGCTGTCTGTGTGTAAGAATAAGTTTGCCCCCCAGTACTTGTGAAAGAGAACTGTCATTATCCAGTAGAGGTGTACTATTCACCTAACACTGTGGAAGCAGTTTCCTATAGGTGATACATAAGGGTAAGTATAATTAACATGTCACCTGATGTCAAAACCCTTTGCTGTTTCAGCTGAGCTGCATCGTTACTATTTCCTAACAGAACAGTAACAACAGTGTTTGCTTACATTACTCTACTCCTCCCAAGTATATTTAAAGATGAAGCAAGGACTTGGCAACTCTACAGGAAGTCAGATAACGAAAGGCTTCAACAACTTATTTGGTGGGCTTGTTCTCAGGCTATTGTATGCACCTCCTAAAAAAACAAAACCAAACTTTTTGTAACCATTGATGCTGTAACAGTGCAAACAGCATACAGTTTTATTGCTCAGTTTCTGCATGGGTACATACTTTTAGAAAAACATTTTATATAGATGTTTTGTTAAAGCTCAAGGAACAACTTGGGTGAAAATACAATGAATATCAACGCTAAAACATTCTGCAATAAATACAATAGAAATGCAACTAAAGTCACCTGTCAGTCTGTGGAATAAGTACGAATCATACCAAGTATACACTAATTTTAGCTATAGACAGAGCTCTTAGATTTTGGCAGAGTTGGAAAGACTAATAAAAAGAGTGTGTGTTGACTATATGGTAGAGTTTAAAGTCTGAAGCAGTGGGGTCATGCTACATTGTGATGTATGTTATAGAAAGAAAGCTTTTACTTCTGTAATTCAGCCAGCTTAAAAGCACCAGTAGGTTTAACAAATGTAGTATTGTGGAACAAACCACCACCACCTTGTGTGCTCCGGACTCTAATACAACACAGTTTTGGTAAAAAATAAGTCAGTTTAGGGAAACTGAAGCTATGTGCAAAAAATAGAATATACTGTACAAAGCACCATTTACAAAACTTTACACCTAAAAATTAAATCTGAAATGCAACTATTTGAACCCTACCAAAATAGTCACTATCCATATTTAAACATTCATAATGAAAAGAAACATGGAAATGTAAGGGGAATTTCTCTTAGCTATTTTATGCATACTCAGAATAGATGAACAAACAATATAGGAAGGATATGATGGAAATAAATATTCACATTTATATACGGGGTGAAAATCCAAGGTCCAACACACTATTGGATTTAGCACTTGTCTGAAGGAAAAGTGGCATGGTTGTGGTATGACAATTCAGTCCAGAGAAACTTCTGGGAGATGGTGTGCTTTTCATGGTTATGCAGATAAAGGCACTCAGAAGACCCAATATTCAATTTGCACCAGTCTGTTCTGTGTTTGTCAAAGAAAGGCTTTTATTTAGCCCATAACATAAGAGTATTCATCACCAAGTTAGCCCTGTAATGATGGAAGGATCTCTGCACTCAAAACGATTTAAAGCCAGCTTGGTGTCGTGGTTAAGAGCGGTGGACTCTAATCTGGAGAACCGGGTTTGATTCCCCACTCTTCCACATGAAGCCTGCTGGGTGACCCTGGGTAAGTCACGGCCCTCTCAGAGCTCTCTCAGCCCCACTTACCTCACAGGATGTCCTGTTGTGGGGAGAGGAAGGGAAGGTGATTGTAAGCTGCTCCAGGACTCCTTCAGGTACTGAAGGGCGGGGTATAAAACCAGCTCTTCTTCTCTTAAAACAGGAGGGTAATGGAGCTATCACTGAAAGAACTCTCGAAACTCAAGTTTTGGTATACAGATGGCACCCAGCTTGTTTCCCCATGGCCTTTAAAATGGATTCTGTATTGAGGCTATAAACCTGTTACTTTAGCAAGCATTTATTGTTTTACTGATGTAATACAATTGCAGCAAGATGAGCAGAGGCAATCAGTGGAGACCATAACACACAGTATGATCTGGTGTGAAAGGATCCCACCTTTACATGCCATAAGGGCAAGGCTATTTATTGTGAATCAAGTGTAAGTCTGCAGAGAAGGAAGAACACATCTGGCCTTCTTTCCTACAGAGCAAGCAGCAAGGAATGCTTTGTACAAAATCTGGTTCTTCAAGAAGCCCCCTCACCAAACACACAGAGCAGCCTGTGAACAACAGAATGACAGCTTTTGAAAGATCCAAAGAATAATCTACCTTATGTTGGGGTCCACTGGAAGATTTAACAAGGTTGCACTTACCTGTACCTGTTGTTCATCAAGTGGTCCAGGCACACATTGGGACTGCGTGTGTGCAAGCCAGCCAGGGGAAATACTTCCAAAGCTTTCTAGTAGTCTAGGAGTGCCCCTCCTCCCTCTGGCACTTTCCTGACAAAGCAATCATATGAGCAGGAGGAGGGGCACTACTTCCTCAGTTCTCCCCATACCACCGCCAGAGAGATCGAGAAACTAAGGTTCCAGAGAGTTCACAGTGGGGCAGGAGAGGGATGTGCATCTGCACAGAAGACCACTTGATGAAAAACAGTTACAGGTAAGTGCAACCTTGTTTTCATCGTTGAGACTTCTGGGCAGTCCCACATTGGGAGATTAGCAAGCTCACTGAGAGAAAGAGGCGGATGTGAAGCTCTCAAAGGAAGAGACCATGGAGGACTGCCTTCCCAACATTTGTTTTGCGTCCCATATTGATCTTCACCCTGAACTGTCTTCATAGAGCAGGGAGCGCTCTACAAGTGTCCCAACCAAAATACATGCAGGAACATGGCAAAGAAAAACAGCACTCTGTTGGAAAGAGCTGTGATATGTAAAGCGGCACTGAACACCCATTCACTCAAAACTGAGTGTGATAGTCTCTACCAGTGCACAAGGACGGGTTGTGAGAGGACATTCACCAGTCCTTGTTGGAACCCGAGAGACCAATACAAAGTAGTGTTGGGTCCTCAGAAGACCAAAAGCCAAGAAAAGTCACATCCAAGGAGTGCACAGATGTTTGGCATCAGAACCAAGTGTAAGGATAGTGTTGTGTGACATGAAGACTCAGAGTCAATCCCTTCTAGGAGATCCTGGCCAGGGCATCAGACACCCTAACCTTGGGAAACTTCACGAATGGAGGGGACATAGGTTAGAACTGACAATGTCTTCATTCCATCGTTGGAAGTGCTGCATATTAAAAAACATATTCTAAATGAAGCACTAGGGAAGCACAAAAAAACAAACAAGGGGTTATACCTCTGTTTTATAACATCTTTAGAAATCCAATAAGGAAGAGGAAAGTTTAGAGAGTTTGAATTTATTTATTTATTCAATTTATACCCTATCCTGCCCTCCCTGCTAAAGCAGGCTCAGGGCAGTGAATCCCCACCAGTGGACAAAACATAATCAGCAGCATAAGAAGCAGGATCGAAACTCTGTTACAGCCTCAGTAGAGTCTTTTTCACTTTGAGGCGCAAGATCTAGTAGAGAAGGTGTGGTGCTTGCCACTCAGAAAAATCTGCTACAATTCAGGAAAGGAGCTGATCGAAACTACTGAAATCAACAACAGGACTGAGAATAAACAGATCTGCGCCATAATAATGAAAGCAGTGAAGAAAGCATGATGTGGCCAAAGAAAGGACAGCATGAAAGAACCTTGAGCAGCATGCAGAGCAATCTGCACAGTGAAACAGCCAGAGAAAAAGCATAAAAACAAGATGAACTTACTGAGAGATTAGAAGGGCATTCCTCAATGACAGGGGTCCCTGTCAGGAAAGGAGTAAAAAAAGGACAGGGCACAGAGCGTCAAACTGTGGGGTAAGGTCAAATAGCCCTTGCCTCTAATCAGAGTATCTGGGAGTTGTCCCCATTAGTCAAGGAAAACAAAATTACAGTGCATTCCATGACAATGTGGAGCGTTTGTACTAAGAGACAAGCTAATTTCACAGAAGGCCAGGAGCCACTGGGAGACACATGCCCACAGTTGGGTCCCCACACTATAAGGGGAGGAGGCATCTGAGATGACACCAACTTCCCTGAGAAAAATGAAGTGCTTTGACCAGCAGAATGATGCACATTAGCTCTGTCTCAGAAAGAAAGAAAAACAAATCTGGGCTGAAGGGTGACATAGACAACAAAACCCAAATTCTGCTATGGTATAACTTCTAGATATGTAAAAATGCCCAAAATTGCAGCTGTGGAAGCCAAACAAGCTTACAATCTTAGTAAAATAAGGACTAAAGACTGAGAAAGGCAACAACCGACCATCAACAGAGAAGGGAAAACAATATAGCAGCCTCACATGGGCCACCCTAATCACTGTGCATTTTGTAAAACAGCCAAGGCATAACTCCAATGAAGGGGAATGTTGGCGTTCTACCACTGGGAGTCTCCATCCACAATGGCAGAGGATTCTCTGCAGGAAGGGTAGGGTGGTTTATGAACAAACAGCCAAGCAAAAGTTTAAAGACTATAATACACATAATTAGGTTATCTGGACCTGAGCACAGGCCTTTTAAGGTGCCCTCCTTAACACATAAGAATCATTTGAAATAGGACCTTTTTTCTTTCCCATGGTAGTACTGAACGGAATAATTAATATGAAGACAGGCAACCTCCCCTCAGAAGCGAGATGGGGAAGATCTTGGGTCTGAGCCCACAAAGTGACATAAGTGTGAAAAGAACTCTAGGAAACCTGTGAGTGGTACACAAGAGAACAGACCACAGAGTTGTTACTTTCTCTTGTAAACTAAATCACCATAGAGAAGAAATGAAAGAATTTAAAGGATTTTTGACATGTCCAATTACCGGAGACTTTTTCAGTAGATATTAAGGATGGAACCTGGCATCTTGCACATGGAAAAAAGTGTGCACAATCTTGAGACATCATGTTATTTGAAGGATGGGAACAAGAGGTGACTCTTAAGGGTCTGACAGCAACCCTGTTTTTCCCCAGACTGTTGTCCAACTGAACTGAATTCATAACCTCTCTGTGAAAGCCCCCCCCCCCAAAAAAAGACTAAATCCTAGCATGGACTGGGGCAGTATAAAAAGACTGACCCAGATTAAAGGAACAGATCTGTCACATTCACGTCCAGCACAGGCTGTGAGACATGGTGTGTCAAGCTCACTTCAAAGGGGCTAGTAAAAGGGCCATATTGACCTGTTGATTCACAACTTAAAGGGAAAGTGCAGCAGAGAAATTCCACTTCCCATCCAGGCTAACAGTTTATAGCACACTCTGCAGTGGCTGAATTAGAGATGACATGTTATTTGAACTGCAAGCCATCAGCAACAATAGAGATAACCAGTAGAATCAAGCATATATTTGCTAAAGGATTATAGAAGAAGCTGTAACATCAGCAAAGAATTAGAGTTTGCATGTCAAATACTTTGTCCCATGGGGCAGACTTTTTGAATAGAAACATAAGATGTCCTTTAAAAAGATGGATATGGAGTTTACTATACCCCATCTTACTCTCCAATAAGGACTCAAAGTGGATTTTATGTTTTTCCATTTCATCCTCACTAGAATCCTGCAACCAGATTAATTAGAGAGAATGTGATGAGCCTAAGACCATAAGAAAGTTTTTAGACAGAATGGAATTTGAACCTGGGTCGCCCAGATCCTAGCCCAGAGCTCTAACCACTATACCACACTGGCTTTCGCTACAAATGGCATCACATAAGAGTGACTCCAGAGACAGTCTGAACCCTGATGAAATAAGAGCTCCTTCCCAGAAGCAACAAGGAGACTGAGAACCCTGGGGAGAAGCAGTGCCATTCCCTGGTAGGAAGAAGGGAGTGTGGACATACATGAAACCAACAGGAAAACTGCCTACAAAAAGATTGTGACGGTTTATCCTTGTTACTGAAAACAGTAACAGTCAAGGAGGCCCAAACCACCACTGATGGCTACCATGGAACCAAGAGGAGAGGTGACCTGCTCAGGCTTGCCTCCCTAAGGCATATTTACTGACACTTCTAAGTTCCCCATGGAGATGGCAATGGCAAGCTTTGCTTCTGCTGAAACAGCACCTGTGCTGAAAGCCCCTTAGAATCAAGTTTCAGTGCCGAGAGATTGCAGGAAGGTGGTGGACCAAGGCTGCTGTGTCACTGTGTCAGCTTTTAGAACTAGGCATCAGCAAGAAGGTTTGGAGTCGAGATCAACAGAGAATCAGCTCTGACCTTGGAACCGAGGCAGTCCCAATTAGGGTTGCCGGATTCAGACTGGGAAACTCCTGGAGATTTAGAGAGGGAGCCTGAGGAAGAGCTTTAGAGCGGGACCTCAGTGGGGCACAGTGCCATACAGTCTACCCACCAAAGCATCCATTGCTCCAGGGGAAGTTATCTCTGTAGTCTGGAGAAGAGCTGTGATTTTTGGGGCTCCCCAGGGCCCACCCGAAGGCTGGCATCCTCGTTCCCAATAGAGTGAGTGGTAAAATAAAGCTCAGTAGGACTTGAACATATAACTAGTTTGTTGTCTCAGAACACAACTAACAATAATAGGAAACTCCACCCACTTCAGCAACTCTCCAAAACTACAGAGGCTGAAGAGGCCAGAACAACCCCAACTAGAAGGCACAATATCCTCCTGATACATAACACCTTTCACAAATAACCATTAAGAATTGCAAGGCTCTTTTAAATCCATGCCTCCAAGCATTTCACCTTGAAACTGAGGGCAGCCAGGAAAGAGTTCCTTCAGTCACGCTTAGAGACTTCCATCAGGCCACATCTCCAGGCTTCTGGTTGTATTCCAGAGAAGCCGGGGAGGGGGAGGGATTCCTTCCGTCAGGCAGTCTCTGCTAGGCCACACCTCCAGGCTGTCAGAGCTGAGAGGAGCCGGGGGGAGGGATTCCTTCAGTCAGGCAGGCCAAAGCCTTATAAAAGAGCCATTCTGAATGGGGGGGGGGGGCCCTCTGTCAGGCAACACCTCCAGGTTTCTCCCTTCAGAGCAGACAAAGCCAAGGAGGGGGAAGGTTCCTTTATTTAGACTGGTATGTAGCCAAAGCCTTTAAAAAGAGCCAGTGAACCTGAAGCTCTGTCAGACCACACCTCGCCAGGGAAGGGGAAATGCACCTATAGGCAAGGCTGGCATGCAGCCAAAGCCTTTCAAAAAGAGCTCCTTTGAGCCCAGCTCTATCAAACCATGTTTTTGAGTACACTGATGATAGAAAGAGCAAGCAGCTCTGTTGCACGAACCCCCTAGGCAGATAAGGCACGGCCAATAGGTGTTTATCAGTGCCATTTTAAAGCCACAGTCAGCACAATCCTAGGGAGGCCCCTTTTGAGCCATAACGACAAACTGGAAATCCAAAAACATTTCTTCTTTAAATGTAGTTTATTCTTCATTAGAAGGACTATTGATGAGAAAGAGAAGGAAGTTTTTTTGAGAGAAAGAAGTCTCTTCAGCCTCAAGAATAAGGTGCGGAAAAAATAACAGTAGTGGTGATCCTCTCTTTGCAGCGGCAAAAAGAGAACTGAGGGAGTAGCGCCCCTCCTCCTGGTCATGTGATCATCCTGGCAGGAAAACGTCAGAGGGAGGAGGGCACTCCTAGACTACTAGAAAGTTTTGGAAATCTTTTCCACAGCTGGTCTGCACGAGTAGTCCCAATGTTGGACTGTACACACAAATTAATACACGGAAACTTACAGTATGTGTATAACAATTGGCATGAAAACATGTAAACTTCCCATCCTACCCCATGCTTTTAACAGATACTTTTTTCAGTTGAGTAACTGTTATTCCTGAGACCTGAATGAGCAGCTGAAGCATCTGGAGATAAGCCGAGAACTGCTCCAAGAAGTCGGCATCCAACAGCATAGCACTGAAGCCAATCTATCAATCAGAACCAAGTCTAAATCTAAAGTAGTAAATTTAGAGTAGCAATTCTATTGCAGCCCATGAGCAGGGAAATGGATATCTGATGCATTTGGAACAGCAAGAAGATATTCCTACTACTCTGCCATACCTAGTCACAGATAGAACATCTTCCACCACCATTTGGTTTGCTACAGCAATCTAATTTGAGCAAAATCACATCAGAAACTAGTCACGTTTTGCCTACAACAGAAGCAGAGACTTCACCAAAACCAGTGTTGCAAATGGAAACCATAACATTTATCCTCACATCTCAAGATTATATACCTTGCCATATCCATTGTAAGTTCTAGTGACCATGCAACCAGTGAGTCTACATCAGTATGGGAAAGTGGTGATTTTAGATGACTTAATTATGATTGATATATCCTAGAAACATTTGCTGACCCTTGTTATCAGGACAGAAAAGTAAGCAGCTGTGCTGTACAGTACTGACAGTTCTCTAGTTTTCAGCATAGCTGAGTAAGGTCTAGTTCATGCCTGCAAGCTCTCCTCGTGACTGCATATGGTTCCTCAGACAAGTGCAGTGGCTATTGTGGAAATCCATGTCAGCAGTGCACCATTCGCATTTGTACACCTACATATGTGATTGAGGAAAATAAGCACATATGTTGTGTTGAATTAGCCTTTGCTCAACAAACAGTACACTGAATCTTCTGCAATGACACTTGTCTCAGAAACCATATACAACTGGAAGGGGAAAAACAAGGGGACCTCGCATGTCATGAACTGCCCCTCTGCAAAAAAAAAAAACATACTGAACGGAAGGAGAATTGCTCACACAGACCCCATTAACAGTGCAACACTATATGCTCTGAATATGCTCTCCGTGTTCTAACTGGTATAGATCTACCCTCAGCACAGTATGACATATCCCAACCAACAATATTTATTAGAGCATCACATCATGTTTACATTCCAGATAAAACCAGACTTTCTGCAGTGTCTTGAGTCCACTGCATCACCTTTCCCCCTTAGTTTTAACCAATACAAATCCAGAGTTGTTTTTTTTTAAAAACGTGTCAACCTGATAAGATTTATTTAGCAACTAAAATACAATGCAGATTGGCTGCACTGAACACAAAAGCTTTGGTTGGTATGACATCCACAGAGTGTTTTGAAAGATGAACTGACGATCCTGAAGAATGCTGTTGACAGCAACATACATTTAGGAATTTTAAAAAATGCAGCAGTTCCATTTAAAATGGAAAGCAAATTAAAAAAAACTCAAGTATTAACTTTTTTCTTTACAAAAATGCTCATTTAAAAATGCTAAATGCCTAGAATGCTTTTTAAAAAGGGGTTTCCACATTTACCACAAGTACTGTACCAAATGCAGTGCAACTATGCTTAAGAATCTGACAAGAGAAAAACAGGATTCAAAACCTGTAATTAATGCTTAAGAAATATAAAAATTCTTACACAAACACACTGAAATTGAAGAGAAAAACCACTCAGTATAACAAAACACTTTACGTGTAAAGTGGCCTTAATTTAAAAGATTAATGTGTTTAGCCAATTTTATGCAAAGATTAGAATCATCAAAATATTTTGTTTAAAAAAATAGCAGGTATAAGCAAGGTTCAGTTTCACATGTTTACTTCAGTAAGCTGGAACATGACTTGTACCAACAACTGTATCCTGGAAATGTGAGAGTAGAAATCAGGTAGGCAAATAGATCAGATCCCATTTTATAAAAATAGTAGTCGTCTTTTAAAGAGAAGAATACTGCTTGACTGTTGAAATGAAGGGAAAGTCAGCATTCTGTATGTTCAAGATACTAGTTTTTCATAGCAGCTGAATGATTCCTTGACAGAAACTACAGGACATTTTCTTGAATGAAAAATTCCAAAAATTGTCCTTTCCCTCAGTAATGTCATAAAAATAGAAAAAGAGGCAGAGGGGAGCTTCCTATATTTCAAGCATTTACGGTGTCATGGCTAAAGGGAGGCTTTTCTGCTTGACGGAATATAAATACAGTCCCAGATAAGCCTACACATGGTTCATTCCACAGCAAACCCACATGTTTCTTCAATGGCGGTTAGCAGCTTTTCATAAAGTTTCTCATAGCTTTCATAAGGAGGAATGTCTATTCGATTGAAGCTGCAAGCAAAGAGAACAAAAGGTTTAAACAGCACCTTCAACTATAAAAAAAAACCAAAATAAAAAAAAATATTTTTTTAAAAAAAAACCTAGATAGATACACCCTGCTACACCATGGTGATAAAAAAATACTACTGTGAAAACTTATTAGGAATTTTACATCAATATCCAAAAGCAGTTTGACAGCATTAAAACTATTCAATTCGATGCCACAAGAAAGCAATCATGAAAAAAATTCATTGCCAAAAGCAGCAAAGAGAACTAATGCTTTAAAAAGCTTTCAACCTGCTTAGCCTTATGCAATTATAGGAACAGAACCTTGTTATTATTTTAACAGAGTACAATCAACAGAAACTAGGGACTACATCCCAACATGTGAAGAGGGCGCATATTGGGTTTTTCTTGTAATGTCCCATATACTCAAGCAGTCTTTAAAAAACAACAACACCTGATTTCATGCAGATTGGAGTAAAAGGGAAAAAGTGGAAAATAATCTCCAATTAAAAATTAGGGATTTAAATCCATCTTTGAATAAGCTTCTAAGTAAAAAATAGCAGGGGCTTGTTTCTAGCAGGCAAACATGGGAAGAATGGCAGAGTTCCATGCAGGCGCTCAGGACCATTTCAGCTACTCTGCCTTGGTTGCATATTTAACTTCCAGGCATTGTGTGAGCAGCAGGGCAGAGACAAACAGGTGTGGACGGACAAAAAAAATTTCACCCACTTCCATCACTAAGCTTAGCATGACAGACACATGTAACATGTGAACTGGGTATTCACAAATAGTGAAAATTCCATGAGTCTTCAAATGTTACAAGGTGCACCTTCGGCTCACAGATTACATCGACCTCACAGGCACTGTCAGCTTGCATTTATCTGAGATAGAGGGTCAACACTTGGGAGTCCTTTAGCCATATAGGCCAGGTTGGCGATTCAAGATTGCACCCCTGAGAAAGTTTCTGACACAGTCTCAGGTATTCATGTTAGCAAAGCCAGAGAGTCCAAAAGAGATGGAGAAGGGGCATGCAAAACAAAGCAGGGATTTTACTTCAGTTGAAGCTCCCTTTGTCATTTTCAATACAACCTACTTACCTCCTTATCAGTTAAAAATGCAGTGTGAATGAAATGGCATTTTGAGAAGGTTACAGACTTGAAAAGTAGCACACAAATATAGAGTGTATTAATGACTGCTACCTGAAGGGGAAGAAAATGAATGGCAACTGGAAAATGTCTACTATTGCCAAAAGTTTTGATTAATTGGTTAGACCAACTCAAGTGTTTACTGCAGGTTAAAATTTGGCTTCTGGTTAACTGGGAGGGGCAGCTTTCAAAACCTAGGATTCAAGGTACCATCTAAGGCCACACAGACACATCAGCTCAGTCCTCACTGGGGACTACATCTGCTCTGAAAATAGGTTTTTGAAAACTTCATTGCACAATGCCACATGATGGACAGAGCAGTAAAATGGGTCAGCTTATGAACAACATACAAACCTGCATAGTTTCTCCAACTTTACCTTACTTTTACTCAGGGCCACAGCTAGGCAGGGCAGCGGGTGCCCCCTCCCGAATCTGCAATGCTCCCGGTCTCCCAGTCTTCCCTCCCCCACTGCCTGCTGGCCTGATTTACCCCTTCCTCTCTGTCGTACAGGTCTAGCAGGCACAGTTGGGCCTGCAGGGCTAGCCGCCAGCCCACCGCCCAGCAAGCAGGAGAAGAGGCAGCAGCCCGGCCAGGACGAGGTGATGGCGGCTGGCCGGAGGCAGCACAGGGCAGGCATGGCTTCAGCAGGGCATGGCATGGCTGTGGCACCCCAGCCTCGCTCACTCATCGTCACTCACAGCAGCTCACTAGGGGGGATGCAGCTCTGGCTGTGGACAAGCGGCTCCACCTGGCAGGGAGAGCCTGGCCAACATGGCTGGCCGGCCGGCAGGGAAGAAGCGTGGCTGTGAGCGAGGTGAGTGAGTTGGCTAATGGGTAGCGGGGGTGGGGGGGGGGCTAGAAGAGCGCTCTCATTTTTTTTAGATTTAAATCTAATTTTATTTTAGTAATGTCAGAAGTGACATCATTCCCCCCCCCAGTGCCCCCCCCAACAGTTAAACTATTGGCCTGCTTTTACTGCAAAAAAATCAGCTCTCACACAATTGACTTGTAACAGACTAATATGTTGTTTTTAAAGTTTGAAAAATCACTTCCATCTTTAATTTCTCAAATAGAGCATACAGACTTTTACCCATTCAACTTTCTTCCTGTAGAAGAGAAGCAATACAGTAATGTGTCTGACTTACCACGTATGAGCTTTTGGCAGGTTATTTGTGCTAGCATCAACCTGGTGAATTGTAAATAGTCTTGGACCAGCAGCACCTACAAAAATTAGTATACAATGAAGCTGCTAGCCAGAATGCTTAGAGAAGTAAGCAGTAAAAAATGCCATAGAAAAAGGAGAATAAATAGAGTGTAATAACAACGAAGTGTTTCTCCTGGATGTCTCCCATTTTGCAAATAGTTCACCTGAGCTTTCTACGACACATTAGGAGAAGGCAGGGGTCATTTGGGGCCGGAGCGCACCAGAGCACTGCTTCAGCAGCTTGCCCCGGCAGCCCCGCCCCCGCGCTCCTTTTTTCTAGAGTCGCGCTGCAGCAGCGGCGGCACGATCTTTCCATTATATTCTATGGGGCCATAGAATATCATGGAAACATCACGCCGCTAATGCGGCGCGACTCCAGGTCTGCAGAGAGGGCTGAGGGTCTCTCTAGGAGCCTTCCTCGGCTAGCCCGCTGGGGCAGGTGAGCTGAGGAAGGGACAGGGAGGCATTTAAATGTCTCCCCGCTTTCTCCCCGGCCCTTCCTGGTTCGCCCGGCAGGCAGGCGAGCCAGGAGAGGGCAGGGGAGCCCCAGAAGCACGCTGGGCTGGGGAAGCAAAAAAAGGGGGGAGGCATCTCTAAAAGCCTCCTCTTCCCTTCCCCAGCTGGCCTACCAAGGCGGGCTGGGGGAACTCTAGAGAGAAGGGGTTTAAACTTTAAAGCCCTTCACTCCCCCCCCAGCCTGCCTTGGCAGACCAGCTGGGGAAGAGGAGGCTTTTGAAGATGCCTCCCCCCTTTTTGCTTCCCCTTCTGACATCTCTTCCGGTGATGTCAGGGGGTGTGGCATATGCTAATGACCTATTATGCTAATAGCCTATTGAATATGCTAATGAGCTCCTGCAGCTCTTTTTCTACGAAATGACCCCTGGGATAATTACTACTCAAAATCAGAACCACTCCTGTGTGATGCCAGGTATGAAAATAGTAATATAGTCCTATATAGGAAGTGATCTACCAATAGCCACACATTCACAGCAACATAAGCATTTTCTACCTGGAGACAATTTCCTGTGATTGTCCCATTGCAACTGCCGACTCAGTACAGCAGCAAAGAGTCTTCTAGATGATGTGTTTTCCAGTAGCTTCCCTGTTCCAGCCCTCAGATAGTAACCATTTCCTTAGTTGTTGTAGATTTTCCGGGTTGTATGGCCGTGGTCTTGGCATTGTAGTACCATTTCCCCTCATACTGGAGGACTTGTTTTTTTAAAAAATTGGGTATTGCTATCAGAGGGCTAGAGACTGAACTTGTTTTTTTTTAAGACAGCTGATAACTAGTATATTATTTCAATTGGCTGTTATAAAGCTAGAGAGAGCTATCAATACCCATAGTTTTTAAAATCCCTCTGGGGTGTGTGTGGGGAAGAATGGTGCTAATAGGCAGGACTGGGAATATGTAGCACAAATGACTGGACTGCTAACTGAAGGGGACTTTTCTATCCACACATCTGCCATCCTGGCTTGCTGCAATCTTTCCAAAAAGATTGTTGTAAGGCTGGTTTTGGAAAGAACACGGAAAAGCTGGGGACAATTTGAGAGGTGAAAGAAAGCACCATCATACTGTGGGGAATGGGGGAAAAACTTGCTTCCCAACAGCATCCAAACCAGGACAAACATTCTGTCTGTAAGACCCCAGGCAATGAAGCTTTTTATACTCCTTTGATCTGTACTTCCACAGCACATGCACATTTTAAAAATTCAGACCAGGAAAGGTCATATTTTTATTTCTATACACGCACAGAGATCTCACATACATCAAAATTCTATCTGGGCAGAGGCATCACATACAATTAGGAATAGCTGTTAGGTTGACAGATGAATGTAAAAATATTCATTTGTTAACTGCACAAATCCAAAGGTACATGCTTCTATTATGATTATGCGAAAATCAAGTGATACACAAAACTAAATCTGTATTTCAGAAATGGCAATTATTTTATTGCATTTTGCCCAGAGACCGTTCCCCACCACAAAACAGGGCTACCTTGTAATGCTTTGAAGCCCTGCAGTGGCACTCTGGACGAGCCAGTCACAAACTGCAGCAATCGGGCTCTTCTCTCTTCATCAAACAACTCCACGGCTTTCCAAAACCACTTCACGATGTTGCTCTCTGGCGTGCAGTGTTTCAACCTGGTGTTGGCCTTCCAGTCATTAACATCTATCTTCCCAAGGCCACAAATTATGAGCTGCTCAGAAATCACACAAACAATTAAAGATCAGTAGCAAAGGCTACATACATTCAGAATCACAAAGATTTCTACTAGGAATAGAAAACTGCAGGCTCTGGATGACATGGAATACTTAAAGCGAGGATTAATTTTATGCTAAGAAATAACAGCCTTCAGGAAATCACAACCAGTTTAAAGTTTTCAAAACAGAGGTTTTGTTTCCAACTGTGTAATTCTGGTTTTGAACACTGTATGGCAAAGAATATAAGATTATTCTGTATACTCTAGAGAGCAAATCTAGAAATCAAGTCTTTCCCCTATTCCATCATTTTCTCAGAAAGCATTTTAAAAGTGGTGAAAAATTTGCACTGAGTTACCAGAAAAGACTGGATTCCAAAGGCCTACACAGACTTATTTTGTTGTCCACGTCATATACTACACATTAGACTCGCAACGATAGCTAGAAACTTCTTAAGATTTTATGCAATGTGTCCTATTGCTGCTTTCTAGATCCAGTTTTTAGGATAGAATAAGCTGGGTTCCTTACAGTCTCCCCACTTGAGATACAGGCCCCTGAGCTGCATCCCACCCTGTTCCTGAGGGTCCCCTGACCCTCAAAGACCAGTTTTGTGTGTTGTGCATGAGGCTGTAGAAAATGAAAATCTGCTTCCATGAGTGAAACTCCTGCTTTCAGTTCCCAGGATCCAATGAATGGGACCATTTAGATAAGAATAAGAAACAGATCAAAAAACAAAAAGCAAAGTTTGAAATTACAACTCTAAAATGTTGACCAAAGTTAAAAAAATAATTGCACCATATATTCTATGAAACTGAGATAAATTTATGTGACAGCATGGCCAGCAAAAACAGCTAGTGAGAATGGATGTACACTGAAGGCAACCCACAAAATAATAATCAGGAATTCCAGGGCCTTGGTGATCTCTTACCTTAACCTTGGGTCTTACTCTTAATCCAGCCCCTGCAAACCCTCCAACCCTTGAAACAATGGGGATCAATGGTTTGCATATTACCTAATTTAAGAAGAATGTTTTATTTTATTGTTACACTTGATGACACAAGGTATCATTAGCATACTGACCTCTAATTCCTTTTCATCAAATGTCTTGAGCAGATGCTGTGGGATTACTTCATTAAATCCCTTCTGCAGAGCCAGAAACTGAGCTTCAATCCCTCGTAAAAATCGCCAATTTACATAAAGCCTGCAATAAAGTCAAGGTTCCATTTGCAAGAGCTTCACAGCTGACACTTTCCTTTTTTTAAAACCTTGGAAAACTACAGCATCAGAAACACAGTGCAACTATACACTGTACTAGCTCTCTACTCAATTCATACTATTAATGCAGGCAAGTAATAAGATTCTCTGGCTAACACATCACAACTTAAACAAAAAGAAGACTTATTGTTTTTAATACCTTACATATTCTTTTTTATTCTCCTCTGTGACAGGAATACTTTTCCCATTGGGTTTCAGTTCATGTTGTATGATTTCGCCATATGCATTATGTTCCACACAGAATGTATGGTCCAAGACGCCTGTAGTATCATTCTCCCTGAAGTGCAAAGCACAGAATTTACCTCTAAATATCTTGGACATGGCTAAACATATACACTATAATCTGCTGAACAAAGATACAGGAGAAAACAGTTTGTTTATATCAGGTAAGCGCTCCACGTGGGGCACACAAATATTATCGCAGCCATTGCAATAGCCTGTGGAGCAATGAGGCAGGCACATACAGGACTCTGAATAATTAATTACTGGAAGCCAGACTTTTTTTTGAGTATGAAAACATTATAACTGAAAAGCCTTGCAGAATGTTCAAGAGGCTTTTTAAAACATAACACTGTTCATACATGTGTTAAAATGAACATATGTTATAGAGACCCTGGCATATCACACCCAACATAGAAGTCCTCATCTGTCACATGGCCAGCACTCTTCTCCTCAGGCACATGCTAATGTTGCCCCCCACATGACTATGATCTCATAAGGCCAGCAGCCATCCACATTAGGACTACCCAATGCTTAGACTTCTGGAAGACCACAAGGAGGGAAAAGCTGTGTTTCTTCCAGCTCTATTTGTTTTTAGATAAGTTATTGTAATGCACTGTCAGCCCAGCTTGCAGCCCGAAAGGCAGGCTACAAACATAAATAATTGTAATGCACTGTCAGCCCAGCTTGCAGACCTAAAGGCAGGCTACAAACATAAATAAATGGAATATGGCCACTGTAAACTATTTAATCGTTGTTTTGGAGGGATCAGTACTTACAGTATCCACACTAAGCTGTTGTGAAGATCTGGATCTACTAATTCCATGTCATCCAGCGTGATTGGCTTCCCTAACAATTGCTTATAAAAGGGCAACGTGAAGCCTCCATCAATGTAGTGTCCATGAAACACAGCCATACCCATGATCCGTCCAACAAAGTGGAAGTAGGATAAGTGTTCCTGGAATTGAAAGAACAAATGTACTCAGAAATCAGGACTCCTGGTCTGATTCCAAAACTTCTGAATTATTCATATTTTTCTGTTGGAACATTTTCTAAGCATTTTACTGGCAGATACAACACAGAAATTGAACCAAAAGGAGGGAAAACGATGAAAATGTCATTCATAGCAGCTGTATTATGCAAAGAAAATACGTATTTATCTAACTTCTGTTGTATAAAATGCTATACTCACATTGAAACTTTTTCCAGCCAGCTATAGTTTGAAACACTTCCTTTTATATTTAAAGTCAGGCCTTCCTTCCACAAGCGGGCTGAACAGCCCAGCTTAGCCTGAGCTCATCAGAGTTTGAAAGCTAAGCAGGGTTGGCCAAGGTCAGCCCTTGGACGAGAGCCTACTAAGGCGGACTGGGGTTGCCATGTAGAGGAAGGCAACGGGGCAAAACCACCACCTTTGCTCATCTCTTGCATGGGGCCGCTGCAACTCGAAGGCACGTTCTTCTTTCCCCTCAAAATGGAAAACCTTCCAAACTAACTTAGCCATTCTGGAGGGTTCATTCATTTCCATTATCTTACTGTCTTTCCACATACTTAAGCACAGTTTGTCTCCCTGTCTTCTCTTCCGTCACCAGCTGTAACTACAACATCACAGTGAAGTTTTAATTCAGTTACAGTCTCTTCATATTTCAAACATTCCTTTAACCACTACCTGCTGCAACATGGGCCTACTTTTTAATTGTTAAGTGTAGATACCCATTGTTTTCTTCTCATTCTCTCCATTCCCTGCATCCAAAGAGAGAGAGAGAGAGAGAGAGAGAGAGAGAGAGAGAGAGAGGAAAGAAGAAAGAAGAAAGAAAATGGCACTGCTGATGCAACTCACATTATGTTCCAATTCACTAACTGAAACCAGCATTCTAAGACAACATAGATTTACACCTTCTTGCAACAATGATGTCTTTAATTTTCTGGAATCACATAACATGTAAGCATTCCCCTAGAAAGGCAGCATGGGTGCCCTTTCCCATCTCAGTTCCAAGTTGCTAGTCACCTCCATGATATATACAATATAAGGGGATTCTCGGAAGTGGGGAGATTTTGCAAATATGGCTACACAGGCCAAGGTAGATCTTAACATCCCCCCTCTGCTATTTAAAACAAAATTGTAGTCACTCTGCTCTGCTAGGATGACTCACGATTTTATCACATTATGCTTCACCTCCTTAACAGGCAGGATCCAACCCTAAATTCCAGTCTGTAATTATACAGCAGCAAATTTCTCTGGCACTGCAAATGATATCGGTTTCTTCATGTGTTTTCCTGGCTCCCATACTTTAAAGCATAGCAACAAGACCTGGCCCTCTTCATCGTACTGAAACAGTTTACAGAGTGAGTGATATTAATATATCTAATTCTCAACATGGGCAAATCTATGGATACTTATACCCAGAGTGTAGCCGCGAAAAGACAAGTCTTTCTACAAAAGACACCTGAGGTTTGCAGAAAAAATGTGAAATCTTAAAAGAAAAATACAATGGTAGGGTTAACTCTTCCCCAGTGATAAAAGGAGTGCCTGCAGCTTTAAGAAACGGATATCCTTTGCGGCCACTGATAGGCAACCACAACAGTATTGCCAGTTTTCAAGGCTAAGTTTCTGTCACTAATAGGCAGGGGGAGGGGGCAGGGCCTTTCCAGAGGTGTTTGGGCTTTGGAGGAGGACTCATGAGGGCCAAGCCTGACAGCAGCCACGGGTGACTTGATGCCAACCCACCTGCATGACTTACACATGCTTGGCTGCTTGTGCTGCTCAACAGCAGCCATCTCACAAAGGTCAGTGTGGCTAGAGTTTCAGATTATGATCTGAGAGACCCAGGTTCAAATCCCGCTCTACACTGAAAGCTCACTGACAACTCAGTCTAATTTACCTCACAGGGTTGTTGTGAGGATCAAGTGGAGAGGAGAATGAGATAAGCTGCTTTGTGTCCCCATTGTGGAGGAAGGTGGGATATAAATAAGTGTGTGCAAAAAAACTTCGGTATCTTTCAGGTTCAGGTATATTGAACCCCCAAAATATTGGTATTTCCTGATATTCCTGTATCCCAGTATCAGGAAATGATTGGGAAACCTGAATTTATTTGGCTCCAGTATAACCTACGGGGTATGTCAGCAGTGGCGAGGTCAGCATTCTTCTATTTGCTCCAAGCCCACCACCTGTCTCTATGTCATTCTGACCTAGCCATGGAGATTCATGCCACAGTCACCTCCTGCATAGGCTACTGTAATGTGCTCTATGTAAGGTTACCCTTGAAGGTGCTCTGGAAACTACAGGCAACCCAGAATGCAGCGGCAAGATTGCTGATGAGCTCTCCTTGGAGAGATTATAACTATCCTGGTTTGAAACAACTGCACTGGCTGCCGATTGAGTTCCAGATCAAATTCAAGGTGCTGATGATTACCATTAAAGCTCTAAAATGTCAGGGACCTTCAGACCTGGTGGACTGCCTCTTTTGACATGTCGCCACCCCCTCCGAAACTTGCATTCTTCTACTCACAACCTGCTTGTGGTGCCTGGCCCCCAGGACATTCACCTGGCATCCACCAGGACAAGGGCCTTCTTTGTGGTGGCCCCGTCCTGGTGGAACCAGCTATCAGATGATAACATGAGCCCTGCAGGACTTACCTAAGTTCTGCAGGGCCTGGAAAGCAGAGCTCTCCCACTTGGCTTTTAGTTGGTTGGGTTTGGTTTATGTGGGCTGCTTTCTAGTTTTATTTGGATTATAGTTTTAAACTGAGACTTGTTAATGTTTTAACTGTTATTAGCCATCTCGAGATCACCTGGCAACAAGATGCAGCATTAAATTTAATAAATGAATAAAAATACTGTGGGAAAGGGGATACGGGAGAAATGAGGTGCCTTACACAAGTCCTTGCAGGTTCCCGACTTGTACATTTCTAAACACAAAGCAAAACACTCCTCCAATCTATACATTACCACACTACCTTGCACAACAATAAGGATCATTTATGCCATATGGCAGAGACCCAGTTGTGGTTGACATATATAGATGAAGCAGTGAGCTGAGACTGCAGAGGTAGTATGGTCTGGGGGGAAATGCCTCTGACCAGTCACTTTGATATCACACTATGGGGTCAGCCAAAAAAAAAGGCTTACTGAAGGGGTGGAAGGAAGAAAAGAGGATAACTGAAGAGAACAGCTTTTGGTCCATTCCCACAGTATATATCTGTAAGGAAGGTCCCTACATATAGTTCTTGCTTTCCTCATAGAAAGCCTAAGAAGATTTGATATGATGTTCCCATAGTGGTATTACTGCTAATGGTGAGTTGACATGGAATAGGGATTCAGGATCTACAGGGCACCTATAACAATGGGAATGATTAAACTTCAAGAACCCAAATAAGCTCTCTAATTGGAATACATGAAGAATCTCCAAGATGGTTCAGGGGAATAGCCATTGGTTCACTTTCCTCCTTTTAATCTATCCAGCACATAGGTTGGATGCCACCATTACTCAGGTCCCTGCTCCCTACAACCAAAAAATTCAGATGCTTATTCAACTTGGGGCTTCTTCCCATCCTTCATCAGCTCTCTTTCCATCAACTTATACATGCTATGCAAAGTAGAAACTTCCCAATCACCAGTACCAAGAAAAAGATGGGAAGGCTCCCACACTTGTTTAGAGAGACCTATGGCCAACGAGCACAATGAACCCTATAGGAGGAAAACTGGCTACAAGAAGTTCCTAATGGATGTTGATGATAAAATTTCTCAAGATGAATTTCTCTTAGCTGAACAAGAACATGAGGTCATTTGAAGAATATCCTATATCCAGCACTTGATCCAACAATTTGCATTCAGTCTCCCTTTTAGATATTCCAAGACCAAAGGGAGAAATGTGGTATTTAGGTTCTATCAGTACAAATTAGAAAACAGAGAATCAATGAAGAAATTCAGATTTTACATCATTAAAGGATCAAAAAAGGACTTGCTAGCCAGAAAGAACATCCGTGCTCCTACATACCGGATTAACAGCAGAATCTGGATTTATCTGTAGTGTATAGATGTCATCACGTGAATACTGAAACAGCCCATAGTATGGATTCAGCATTTCATGGGACAGCAAATACAGCCATTCCCTGAATAAAGTAGTGATATTTAACAATAATCTCAAACATTTCTAAATTAAAATACACAGAAATACTTGTTTTTAACACTACATGTCTATTTTTAATCAAGCATGAGTACTTAATTTTTAATCACGAATGAGTCCTTTTAATCAGGAATGCATACAAAATGTAAGCATAAAGCCTTAAGCATAAATATTTCTGCTCTGTTTATTTCAAAAAGGCATCTTGCTGTCTTACATTATGTCTTTAGTCACCCCATGTGGTATCTGTGACAAGAACAGTGTGTTTTCTCTAACTGTATTGTACAGATATGCAAAATTTTGTACTGCATGCAAAAACCAACATCCTGTAAATGCTGCTTCAAAGATCAGGCCTGAAAATGCATGGGAAATGCCTTGGAAATGGGAGACAAACAAGATTTGCAGGGAACAGGATTAGGGTTTTAAACAGCTACAGGTCTCTTCCACAGAACAAGAAAAAGCAGCAAATATGTGGTAGAGAAAGTAAAATCAGAACCAGCAATTGTCTAAAGCATAATCCAAGTATTATCTCACAGATTCATCAGTAGCAAATCAAAAATGGTGCCTTTTAACTTGTATATGTATTAAATGTGTGTGAAAGATTTACATTGCCCTCCTAAGCAGTTACACTCTTCTAAGTCAATTAAAGTAAATGAGTTTAAAAGGATGTAACTCTGTTTAGGATGGAAGATACATAAAATGACCGATTTGTATGTATTCAACAGGGGAAATCATCTGAAAGTTCAGTAGAGAGTTTATTATTAGAACAGTGAGAATACTGGTAACTCTACATTTTACTAAATTTTATATTGTCAGAGATATATTGATTTGCTAGCGAAGTTTGTTCAAGGTTACAAAATTTAGTTAAGGAATGAAAGGCAAATCCTTGTGGTCCTCCCCCCGCCCCCATATAGCCAATCGACAGGTGTGATCTGGGAATTCTGTGCTTGGAAATTAATTCCCAGGCATATAACAGGCCTGGTTTGGACTGGCACCACGCTGCACAGGAAGCAGGAGGCTTAAAGCCTTCCCAACCTGAAATGGCCCTGGGTGAACAGTTATTTACCCCCCTCAATGAGTGCCAGTTTCCCCAGCTGGACAGAGAGCCACTTCTCAGGGCTATTTCGGGGAAATGGCACAGGAGGAAGGCTTATACCCACTCTCCCCATCTCCTGCTCTTCCAGTCCAGCCGATGTGTGCCTAGGAATTAAGTTGCAAGCACTGACTCGTGGAAGTCATATAAGGACACCCTGTGACACATGAAATGGCCCTTAGTCTACTTTGGCACTGACTTTATACTGTAGTTCAGTACATATGTATCTCTGTTTACAGCAGTCAGGCAACATTCAGTAAATTCAAATTGCTACACTAAATAATTAAAATGACAGTATGCTGAAATACACTGAGGGACAATTATTTTAACAGCATGCATTTTCAAGTGCAAGATACACTCTTTCCAGTGGGTGAATATTGACACCAGTTCATAGAACATGACAATGCTGCTGAGATTTACTTCCCTGGCTCAAGACAATAAAGAAAATGTCTGTGCGTCAGGAATGATTGTAATGATACTGTAATGATGTATTTACTACCTTCCTTAAGCTGAAAAGGCCTGTAAGGGGTGGTGAATGTAGGCCGCAGATGTGAGGTAATGTGAGCCTCCCATCCACATGGATCACAAACCCACTTTGAGTACAATCTTTCTGGAAAACTGCATTGAACCACATTTTGGAAAACACATGGTGATTCAGGAGAAAACCCAGAAACGGAAGTCTCCTTGTAAAAAATACCACTGCAGGGTTGTTGTTTTTTTTGAGGGGAGAGATACAGAGCAAAACTTATATGTGCAAGCAGCCTAAGAGCTTATAAGAATACACTTTCTAAAAGATGGACTTTGTTAGTGCATACATTCTGCTATTAAAAACAACAACAAAATAAAAGGCTAAGTTTTTACACATCAAATTCAGCTAATGTTGCCAGCTACCCAGGAAAAATTGTATTATTCTATTGCTGGTAGGCTAGCTGTCAGACAAGAAAGGGACAACACTGCCTTCACATTTCATGCCGTACATGTTGGGTAAAGACAATTTTTGCACTGGGCTCCACTGTTATAGGATTCCCCCACTCCAAGTGCAAGGATTTTTGATTTCAAGAGCTGGCTACTCTAGGTCATTATCAATTTGTTCAAGAGACAGAGCTAAGACACTGTTTACCTGGCAACTCCTCCGTAATCGAGACCTTCTTCCCCACGAAATTTTATCATTAATCTCTTCCATAGGTCTTTAGGCCTCATCTTCATGACTTGCCTGTAAGATTCCTGGAATCACACATACTCATTCATGAGTACTGTCATACTCCTTATACTAGTGCTTCCTCCACTCAAGACCTCAGTAACTGGACTATCCAAACCAGTACAACAGATGTGCAGCTCTGATTAGGGTTTTTTTTGTTTATTTTACTTCATTCATACCCCGCCTTTCTCCCCAATGGGGAACCAAAGCAGCTTACATTATTCTCCTCCATTTTATCTTCACAACAACCCCGTGAAACAGGTTAGGATGGCAATGCCAAAGATGACTCTGACATTAAGACACTATAGCTTTCATAAATAACATGTTTTCTTGTCAGTGAATATGAAGAGCTTATCTGAGAGATATATGAACCAAAGAGAAGCCCTCTATAAACAAAAGATATTATGGCAGATACAGTGTATGGTGAGTTTCTACTGGACTACCATGGCATCCACTATCCCTATAGAGCAAGACCCATCCTTGTCCAACCTGATGGGCAACGAAATCCAGAGAACGACGGGAGGAATTCTGCTTGCCAAAGAAAGCATTTTTACTTTCTCCTTACTACTGTGCCCCTCTGTAGGGTGTCCCTCTGGGTCCATGGAGTGCCTGCAAGAGCATAGTGGGCCTCAGCTGGCTGGGGGAATCCACAAAAATTGGGGGACACACTTCCCCTTTTCAGGCAGCAAACAGAAGGGGACAGTTCATTAAAATCCTCAAGGAATCATAATGTGTTAAGAGCATATATTTATTCTATTTACTTATCACATTTATTAGCTGCCTTTCTCCCATGCGGAACTCAAGGCAGCTGACAATATTTAAAAATTATTAAAATATCACACATATACAAATACTAATTCTAATTGTCACATACAGCTGCATCTCTAAATGTATTGTCTCTCAAATTTCTATGCAGCCCTCTTTCCTCTATATTCCAACATAAGGATCCAACTAGTCTGATCCCCTTCCTTCTCCCCTCCATGTAAGATCTACAAAAATGACAGTCTTGAGTTACCTCAAATATTTCCTCCCTGGAGACTTCAATACGACAATGTCCAGCTTGGGGCTGCTGCTGGGATAGCTCTTGCCTTAGAATCTTGAGCTTCTGTACAAGGTCACGCTTGTACCTTGGCACAGTCAAGCATTCTGCCTCATCTGGAAGCTGGCACAATGACACCACTTCCTGCTGCTGTTGATCTTTGAGTTGGTTCTGACGGCTGAAAAGAGGCACAGCTGCTTTGAGTAATTCAAGTTTTACAGTTGTTTTCCCTTTTACATAAGATTAATATGCACTTGTACCAAAACCTGAGGCAAATAGAAATACCAGTTACTATAGTTACCAAGTCCTCTGCCACCAAAAAAAAAAAAAAAAAAAACTTCACAGAAACTTAAACCACATGCTTCTGTCTGTCTTGATAATTTTCAGCTAGCTTAATTTTTTCTCAATTAAACAGATTACAGATTTACAATGACATTAATTGTCCATGTTTTATCATCTTTCATGTTAATATTCAGGGTTATGCCAGAACACAACATCACTCATCCAAAACTGGATACTGCATTCTGTTTGAAATGACTTGGTTGAAGAATTAGCTTACAAAAATGTTTGCACAGGCAGTTTGGCAAGGATGGTGTCCCTTGTACCTGGAGTAGTCTGGACCACAGGAATGTATGGAACTTGCATGTAACCAACTGGCACAGATAAATGAGCATTTTTACTAGCTATTCTCAAACATTTCTTAAAGCGAATTTTTTTTCTGGGCTAACAATTCCCAGTTTGTTCTATATATTCACATTGCCGGCAGTTACACACAATTCTTTTTGGTTACAGCTTCTGCCATTTCCCATGAATATCTCCCCACAGCTCTGAGAGAACAGACTGAAAAGTTCTTGCACAAAAAAGTACTCAGTGCAGTTTTGATCAAGACTGACGGAAGAGCTAGTATTTTAAAGTTACATCCTTGTTACACTGCATATTGTTTAAACCTATATACGAGTCATCTCTACTAGAACATAATCCAGTGAGACCAATACCTAAAGATAAGCCTCAAGAATAGCCACAATGCCCAGAAAAAAGTATGTATTCTCTGTATAAGAAAGTCAATGTGTAACATTTTGTAAAGAGGTACACAACACCACCACACTACAAAATCTACCACACTAAGACCCAAACTACATGTTGCATTTAACATGTGATTGCCATAGGCACTTGTAGCCATACTGCAGCTGCGGGTTCCCCACAGGAACTCAGTTCTAATACCTGCAGGGACCCAGTCTGGCCCAAGACCACAGCATGGGGGGGGGACTCCAGCCTACCCCCATGATATTTTTCTGACACAAAATGACCTGGGGAGGCATCAATTTGCCCTGTTGGGGGGCTGCACGTGTAATGAATGCTTGCATGTACAGGGTGCAATAGGCCAAATAAAGCCACCCGTGGTTGTTGTGAGTCAGGGTAACAGCCCTGGGGGGAGACTGGAATCCTCCACCTGCCCTGCAGTCCCAACATGAATTTCCCCCCTGCATCACTTTAGAGTTCCCACAGGATCTTGCAGATGATGTCTTGCTACAAAGTCACCATGGGGATCATGTGTTAAACAAACTGCAAAGTTTGAAACTGCGTGATTCTGATTATTCTACAACCCTTGCAAAATTATTATTTTTTAATAAATTATTTTTTGTTTTATCCATTGCTTTTACATTCCATGTTATTTAGCGTCTTACAATTTTTCCTCCCCTTCCCTTCCCTTCCTCCTCCCTTCCCTATCTTCGTGTAGTCCTTAGTCTTTTCTCTCCAGCCACGGGCACAAAGTCAAAATCTTCCACCGAATGTCTTCCCTTCCCTCCTTGGATATCCTGCAAAATTATTCTATGCATGCTCAGAACTATAAAAATTCCATGAAAACTGACAAAAGGCTGGAGTAAATTGCTGGCATATTTTGCAGGCTGCCACGTTGTGCCCTTCACCGAGGCACGTCGAACATAAAGCATGATTGTCAGTGCGGGTCATTTTCATCCCACATGACAAACACTTCATAAATAAAGCTTTCTGAGACATGTTGGGGTCTTGGAAAGCAAACAACGTTGATCAAATAGAGGAAAGCTTGCAGAGAAAAAGCTTTGATCTTCATCAAGCAGTGGTGAAGATAGAACTGAGGGAAGGAGGAGCTCCTCCTCTGGTACACGTGACAGTTTGAGCAGGAAAATGGCTGCTGGAACACTACAGAGGAGAGGGGCTCCCCCACTCCGGTGCAAGGCTAAAATAAGCTTTAAAGTTCTCCCAAGCAGCAGGCCTGCGCACATGCAGTCCCACATACACAGAACAATGACAATAAATAAACATTTCTTTAAATATATCCAGAGCAGGAAACCAGACAGAGAAGACACTGGGCCTTAGGATGACCAAGGGATAAAAGGATTGCTAAAGGAAGATGGGGAGATGGAAGGAAAGCTCAATGAAATTTTTGCGCCTGTGTTCACTGTGGAAAATTTGTACCTGTAAGAAATGAAAAAAATAAGGACTTCTGACAAAGAAAAATCTTGGATGTTTGCCTTATATTGCATTAGAAATATATTGCTTGAAATCAATTGATTAATGCTTATTATGAAACTAAACAAGTTTGCTATAAGAAAGAGGAACCATAACCAGACAAAGTCTGGGGCTGCCTCAAAGGGATAGTTGACTGTTAGCTAAAAAGCGGAAGTATTGTGGGACAGCAAGGGCTCTGCAATGTTATTAATAAATAGCTAGAAGTACCTAAAGCTTTTACTTTATGAAAATAATCAATATGGCTAAATGAAATATATTCTATAGCTTGCTCACATATAATCATGTTTGCTCTCACTTATTTGCCTTTGCCAACCATGCAGGAAAAATAAGGAAGTATTTTAGACAAATGAGAATATTGTGAAAGTGATGGCTACAGACACCCGAAGATAGAACATCTTGCGGTTTTGAAGGTCCTGATTGACAGAGGGGCCAGATGACGGAAGTGAAAACAGTCACTCCAGACAGAAGCTTGTGACAGACTGTTAGAAAATAAATCTTGAGTAAAGGTCAAGGGGGGGTGTAATCTTTAAGAAAAAGGAAAATAATAATTATGGGCATAACACACGAGGTATAGTTACGCGGTCGTGATTGGAGAATGTACGTTTTGGTTGCCAACCAATGGTGGCCAAAGCAGGGCTTTTCTTATTTTCCACACCTCGTCGGTGATGAGTATAACTAGGCTGATTATGTGAATCTAGGGTGTGTTCAGTTCTTTTGAGCTGTGCAACCTCTTGCAAGAGTATTAAATTCAATAAAAGATTGTTCTGCTTCATTGAAAAAGGTCTGTCTCCAGAAGTTCTTTATTGGTAAGAACAAATTGTACTACCAACATACCCATGCCATAGCCACTATTTTCAGAAAGGGAGTCTGAAGAACGGAGTCAATTTGAGGTAACAAGTGATGAAGTTCTAGAATAGGGGTGTCTAGTTGGATTTACCCGAGCAAAAAATATACCTGGGGTATTCCTTATTAAGAATCTATAGTCAGAAAATATTCTTCAGATTCATATACCAGGTAGCTCCACCCTCTCGAAACCAATCAGGGTAAGAAGAAGTGCTAGCCAGAGCTGCATGTTGGCCCTGCATTTACTTAATTTATATGCTAATGCTTTTCTCCCTAGCCAGGATTACAGATCCTGTTCTCCTCAGCTAAGTGGTCAGGCTGTAGTTTATTCAGCATATGCAGACAATCTAGTTTTATTAGCCTGTACACTTTCAGGTTTAGTGAAAATATTGAACAAGTTTTATGATTTTTGCATTAAAGAATATTTAGAAATAAACTTTGATAAAACAAAGGTAGTAAATTTCTCTAAACCTGAATCTAAAAGGATGCGTTCTTTATCCTTGCAGGGAAACTCAATTGAGGTAGTAAGAAATTCCATGTACCTTGGGGTTATGTTCTTACAAAATCTCTCTTGGGATCTGCATATCCATATGTTAATACAGGAGGTAAACGCCTCCTTCATTTTCTTTAAAATATTCTTTTATTGAAAAGGAGAGTGATTTGTACCAGCACTCATGACTCTTTATAGAGCAATTATACATTCGGTCATCAGATATGCTGCTCCTGTGTGGCATACTGGTCATATAGAATGTCTTGATTTTCTTCAAGAAAAATTCTTTAGAAACCAGTTGGGTATTCCACAACGTATCTCCTCCTCCACTCTGCAATTAGAGCTGGGGCTTCCAAATCTATCTACCATTGTTTATCAATCTGTCATCAAAGTTCAGTTTTCCCTCTTCAAGCTGTCAATAGCTCTTGCTTTGTTTCAGTTGTTAATTTCAGATGACTATCTAGACCTGGAGTAGGAATTTAGATAAAAGACTTTCCGTTCCAATAGAGCAACTGAAGGCTGCAAGGAACAGAAATCAGAAAGTAAGCTGTAAAAAGTCTAAAAATAGGATCTTAAATGAAGATTGGTTCTTGGTGCTCAAGGATGCAAATTGTAAATGTTCTCCAGTCTTCTTCCATATACCCTTTAGTGGTTATTTTTCCTGCCCATACACATGCTTTCTCTGTTGTGGCACTCACTTTATGGAATGGCCTGCCTGAGGAGGTCAGGAAGCCTCCCACTCTCCTGGCTTTCTGCAAACTACACAAAACTGTATTATTCAAGAGGACTTTTCTACACAGGCAACAGAATGTTACTTGGAATAAATTATTAGGGACGGCTGTACATAGCTTGCTGTAAGTAGGATCATACTATGTAATTTTGCATCATTTAACGTGTCATGTTAATACTTAAGCTTTGCTTCAGATGTGTTTTAGATTTCTGGCTGGTTCTACAATACTAGTTCTATTACATTGTTTACTGAACGCCCCATCTTGTTGCTTGTGTTGACTAACACTGTGTAATCTGCCTTGAGTCCCAGTGATAAAGACAAACTATAAATAATGTAAATAAATATATATCCTGTCGGGTACAATAAAGAAGAATAAGAAAATTTATCAGACTGTAGACTTTATTGGTGACACTGGTTGGCTGATTTTCTGAAGACCATTTGTAATGAAAGAGAGATGTACAAACAAAAAAACTGAAGCAAACCATTATAGCACAAGTGCAAAAAGGCTGCATAATTTCAGAGCCTGAAAGAGTGATAACATTTTCCTATTGAAAGATAATCCAAATTTTGAGTTATTTTTGAACTCTACATAGAAACAGACTTCCTAGACCAAAACTAAGTTGTGGCAGACAGGCTAGGTTCAGCCTCTCCCTAAGAGCAGCCAATAAGAGCTGATAGAATGTTGAGAAAAGGAGCCTTGAAAACAACAGTTAAGAAACAGCAGTTAGGGGTTAGTAGCAGAAAGGGAAGCTGACAGCTTAAGGGCTGACGTGAAAAGGGGTTTTCTGACTGAGGGGAACTGTACAGAAGCAAAGCTTCAAACAGCCTGAAAATATTAAATTTGTAGCTAAAGGATCTCAGTTGTAGGTATAGGACCTCTGTTCAAAGCTTCAACAGAAGAGAAACGTTGTTTCTTAGACTTTACTTTCTTCAGTGTTTTGTTCTTATAAATAAAACCTTTCTTGTTTGAGTAACCCTGTGAGCTGCATATCTAAGTGGAAGAAGTGCACACAGTACAATTTAATATCTCCGTCCATATACATATTATAGGATATGAATGAATGATGGCAGCTCTGTGTGAGTGAGGGCTACCCTGTCTGTGGATGTCTCTGGGAGTGAGAGAGAGGACCCTCGGTGTGAGACGGTCATGACTCTATAGATTTTAAAAGAGACAAGAAAGGTAGCAAGTGCGATGTCCTAACCTGAATAACAGAGGTGGTAGGCACTCTGTGTGAGTGGACAAGGGGCATCACATAAATTGGTGGTAGCAGTGGGACACTAACATTCACACTGACCGCTGGCTTACCCTACAGATGTCAACCAGTTTTGACTGCTTTGTCTACCCCCACACACACACCTCAAAAAATAACCTATGGAATTAGTTTTGAGCTTCAACAAGAGAGTTTTCCACCCCCTTGTAAGAAACCATCCCATCCCAAATGTAATGCTAAACTATTACCTGTTTAATGGTATTTGGATTATTATTGTTAGCACCTTTTAATGTTGTAATTGTCATATGGTTTTATGATCATTATACAATTTATTGTTGTTTTTATGCTGTTGCAAGCCGCCCTGAGCCGGCCATGGCTGGGAGGACGGGGTATAAATGCAATAAATAAATAAATAAAATAAATAACCCCAATTTGAGGGTGTTCCTGACGTCCTAGACAAAAACTACGTATTGCTAGAAAAACCAAAAAGCAGTTTAAAAACCACTACAACTGTTTATTGTGATACAGAGAACACTTTTAAAATTAAACTCTCTCCTAGTAGACAACTGCACACTACACAAATACAACAGGTATATTTATCGGCTTTCCAGCCAACATACAAAGAAAGATGTAAGAATTCAGGAGCTTTATAAAGCAATCTGATTACATTTCAGAGGATGGCACAAGAAGCTGTACCAAGCTGTCTCTCCTGGACAGCATGAAAATTGGATTTTACCATTCTACCTGCCACAGCTTTTCCCTGAGAAGACTCCTCTTCCAGAATCCTACCACCAATCTACCATCCATATTTTGTAAATATGGTAAAAGACGTGTGGCTATGTATGTGTGCTTTTAAATTTTCGGCTGAGGCATCTTGTGAAAATGCAGCTCTGTATAATTCAGATGCACCTGACCAGGATAGCCCAGGCAAGGCCAATCTTGTCTGATCTTGGAAGCTAAGCAGGGCCGACCCTGGCAAGTACTTGGAAGGGAGACCTCAAAGGAATACCAGGGCTGGGACACAGAGACAGACAATATCAAGCCACCTCTCTGAAATGTCCAAGCCCCACTAGGGGTCGCCAGAAGTCAACCAAGACTTTCAGGCAGACACACACACACACACACACACACACTACTCACCCCCCCAAAAAAAAACCAGGAAAAAAAGAATATATAATTAAGATGACACCTCCTTTCGTTAATAGCTAACAACACACACTCCTTTCAGACTATTACATTGATAATATTTAGAAGCACTTATTATTGCTATGTTTCAAACAATTTTTCCATTTGGGGGGGAGTATTGTGTTTGTGCACGTATGCACTTGTGAGCCTGGAAGTCATGGTGACTTCTGGTGACCAAAGTGAGGCTAGGACATTTCAGAGAGGTGGCTAGATACTACATGACTCTGCATCCCGACCCTGGTATTCTTTAGAGGTCGCTCTTCCAAGTACTTGCCTGGGTTGGCCCTGCTTAGCTTCCGAGAGCTGACTTGCCTGGACTATCCTAGTCAGGGCTGCTTCAAACATTTTTGATAGTCTGCATGGTGGAATAGTAGGTTTCTGCATCCCTGCACAAATACGTTTAATTAAATATACAGCACTGGCAGCCTCAACCTATTCTATTCTAACCTTTAGCTTCTATGACAAAAGCAGAAGGCCGTCTCATGGGAAAAGAGTTTGTAAGCCGCTCTGAGACACCTTTGGGTAGTGAAGGGCGGGGTATAAATCCAATCTCCTCTCCTCCTCCTCCTCCTCCAGTCTGAATTATACTATTGAGGAAGGCTTATTGCAGAAACATATTTGGTATTGATTTTTGCATATGGAGACATTATGTACCTTTTAACCTGTATTTATTTACTTTTGTCTTTATATTGGGACAAGGTACATACATACGGTGTGCAGGGGGGAGGATGGCAAGCCTGGGGGGGAGGAAGAGGGGAGAGAAATCCACACACAGAAAGCCTCACCTAAACAATCTACCTTCTTATAAGGTACATATATGCTTAAACATAGGAGTGTTGTTTTTAAATGATATTTTAGCACTCGTTATTGTATTACTAAATTATATATTATATTTTGTACATCTGCATTTTGTGCATAGTTAAATTTTACTTTGTCTGTATTCCAAAAAGCACCACTGTAAGGTAAGCAGGATACTGCAGTACAGTTCTCTCCAATCTAACTTTAGCATATCTCATTGTCGGTACAGATGTGGCCCAATTGTAGGGGATGCTCTCACAGCCGTTGAGATACAACTTCAGAGGCTGTATGTGACCTTCCTATCCACAGGTTCCCGAACAGTTTCCTTCATTCACAGTGCTGTATTTGGGGAACATCCACATGACATCATCTTTTATTCATCCTATTTCCGTGTTTTCCCCATGCGATATTTCCCAAACCTGATTTGATACAACCTTTTTGGAAAGACTGTAGCCAAAGCAACTTTGGATGTTGTCTACAACAGAAGGTGCATGTTATTCAGATCCTACAGACATCAATGCCATTATCCTCATCTCAGTCCAAGCAGTCACCACTTCCCTTCTCCATTTTTTAAAAATCGGTAATAGTTATATTGCTTTAATATTATAATGACCTACTGCAACAGTGTACTCGTTAAAGGGAAGGATACTGGCTGCACAGTTCTCCTTATGCCTTTGCAACCAAAAATGCAAGAGACTGACTTTTTGAAAAAAACACAACTTGGAACTATTACATTGTTGCACCATACACTATTCTAATGCAGAGGTCCCCAATGTGGTGCCCACAGACAGCATGGAACCCAAGGACATCTTTCATGGTGCCTGCCAAGTGGGTGGGCCCAGGTGGGGCTTTTGCCCAGCATGACGTCTGACTGGCCACTGGAGATCTGATTGGCTTTGTAGATTTTTAAAAACATTGCTTTGGCATCACCTGTCACCACAACACAATGGTCTTTACTGTGTCACTGAACTTCCTAGAGTAGCCATTTTGTGGCTGTGCCCCATATGCTGTGTCAGAATTGCAAAGGTGCCCGTGGGCTCAAAAAGACTGGGGATCCCATCATAATGTTACAGCTATTACTAACTTTAAAAATAACACTGGAAAAAACTTCTAGTGGAAGGGGGGAAATGGCAGTCACAGAGGACTGGGGCCAGGAAAGTGAAGGTAAAACTTTTGTGGATGTCTCTGTACATGGCTCTGAATCTGCAGCAGCAAGAAGACCTACACAAAAAATCATCTTCATGGAAGCAGCTCAGCATTGAGCTTTTACAGTATTTATAAGCATTTATTATGTTTTGGCTTAAAACAATAACATGCCATTATGCTGCTGCACTGTTTCATCCTAATATTTTTGTATGTAGGTTTTGTGTTTCAGATCTTTACTCCGTAACACTGTAGTACTTTTATCTCCAATGTTAATAGATTTTAAAAATTCAAAGTTAACCAGAAAGGAGTTACATAACACAAGGAGGAAGAGTCGCTCTACTGTGCATCCTCAGAGAACAACTTTTTTGCTCTAAATGTTAATCAGCACAGTGCAAGTGACATCATGAACTTACTTTAGAACAAGGTGCAAGTTAGCCGATAGCCGTGGATCTGTGAACTGCGTTGTTCTGTTGTTATGATCTACAAAATAAACTCTGCCTGTTGCTGTATTTCGTATCTCCCATCCAGGTGGCAAAGGACCAAGCTCTTCGCAATTGATGTTGCTAAGATCCCTGCAAAAACAAACATAAAATGAAACTACCTCAGCATTTGGCCTCTGAGCCAAACAAGTGTAAATGTAACATAACAATTCCATGAAGGCTGAGAGTATGTATTGTTTCAGAAACATGATCTGTTCAGCTGGAATCTCTACTCCCAAGAACAAGCACACGGAAGGAAAAGTAAAGCACACACACAAAATCACCCCACTGCACATGCCTTGGAAAAACTGTTATCATATACTGCACTTTTTTTCCTTTTACAAAATAACTTTATCAGTAATTACTATACTATAGATTTAAAACAGAAATAAAATTCTTTGCTTATCTTGCCCAGCAAAGTTATACATTAGCCACAGTTTTGACAAACATTCTTAAAAGATAGCACAAATCTTTTAAGAATTTTTGGATTTTTTAAAAAAGTTCAACAAAACCACATTTGTAAATATTTCTATTGTCTGTGAAGATTTATCAAAGTAACAGAACAAACAATTTTTAGTGATTTGTGAAGACTAGCCACTAGATGCAATAAAAATCCACTATCACAAAGAAAAGCTTATGTTGCCACAGGAACACATTGCCAGAAAGTAATGGATCTTTGTAAGGAAATAAAGTAATTGAAAATGGTAACTCTTGCTAGACTTTGATGAGCTCAGCATTGTATGACTAAAATATTTTTGTACTATACTGAAAACACACACACTTCCATTATTTTGCTACCACATCCAGTAACAAAATAACTTTGCACAGGAACAGAATACATTAGGAGAGTCTAATGCACTGAAATAATTCTCCATTCGCATATTAAGAAATATATATTATTTTACAATCAGTCTTTTAGCCAACAGACAATGCTATGTACATTTTGAACTCAACAAGTATTGAAATTCTATGAACAAGGAAACTAGAATTCTAGGCCAAGCAGAATTCTGAAACCTGCAGAAAAAATACACATTTGCACAGTTTGTTTTGTTTAAAACTTTGCTGGTCATGGAGGGGCCCAAAAAACTGTACAAGGGACTGTAATGAAAATATGGGCAAAGTCAATATCCTGTGTATAATCTACTTGGATTCTACATGCATTTCGGTCCAAAGCTAAAGGGACTGCAAACTTGCTTTTTTAAAAAACCCCAGCAAAGATGCTGAATTTGTTACCAAATTCTGCACTTGCACCAAATCACAAAATGCACACAGTCCTGCCAACAGGCCACAAGCTGCTGTTCTTTAAGATTGGAATGCAGAATATTAATATGCAAACTGTAAAGAAGTTCTGCTTAAATTATTCTCTTACCTAGGTACTCGTGGATCATGCCATGTGCTCACACCAGTCTGAGTATGTAAGAAATACACCTGCCCTTGTTGAGTTGTTCTTTGCTCTGTTCATCAAGAAATACCATGAAAACAAGTAAGAACACTGAAAAGATACTGAAGAAAAAACAACAAAAATCCCATATAACTTGTTTGTATATTAAAAACTAAAGCACCACAGAAGTGAAAGACTATCTGTTGAGCTCTTGTGCTCTACAGGTTTGTCCAACCCTTTAATGTTATCTAAAAGAGTTATTTAGACCTCTGCGCTTGGACTAAAGTTTAAATTAATATGGATTATCCAGCTTTTTACAGAACATATTTTTCAACTACTTTAACACACACAATACAATAAAAACAATTAAATGGTTATATGACCAAAGCCTTTAACATGGCAGAAGTAAAACGGGAAAATAGGGTTGTACTTACCTGTAACTGTTGTTCATTGAGTGGTCACCTATGCAGCCACAAATGGGTACTGCATACATGCAGACCTACTGCAGAGAGAATTTTTGAAGCTCAACCCCCCCTTTCTCCATGCTGTTTGCAGCCTTTTCCTGAATGATACAGAGGGGGCAGAATGCTCTACTCTGTGCCTCTCTGCTGCCACTGGAGTGAGGTAAAGGTTACCAGATTGAGTTAAGTGCTCATAGAAGGGCAGGAGGGAGGGTTGTGTGACTGCACAGGTGACCACCCAATGAACAACAATTACAGGTAAGTGCAACCCTTTTTGCATTGTCGTGGTACCTGTCATGGTCCCATATGGGAGATGAGCGAGCTGATTTACCCATCTCAGGAAGGCAGGTTTAAGCTCTCAGTTGAACAGAGATTGTAGGACCACTCTTCTCACTGCCACATCTCTTGTGGCATCCACATCCATCACATAGTGTCTTGCAAAGGTGCAGGAGGATGACCACACTGCAGCCTTGCAAATGGAGGCAACACACAAATCATGGCAAAAAAGCTGCTGCTATGGACTGTGCCCAGGTAAAATGGCCATGGATCTGCAGCAGGCAGTCAACTTGTGCCAGTTTATAAAATAGTCTTATACATGTGACTATCCATCTTGAGATGGATTGGGCTGACAGTTTCTTGCCCCCGCTGGAACCTACTGAAGCAATGAATAAGTTGTCACCCTTTCAAAAGAATTCTGTTCTATTTAAACAGAAGAGGAGAGCCCTTCTAATGTCTCAGGAATGTAGGGCTTGTTCTCTTTCATTGTGTGACTGAGGATATAATACTGGCAGGGTGATACCTTGGTTAAATGGAACCTGGATGTTACCTTGGGTAGGAACTGCTTAAAGTTGTGAACAACTATTTAGTATCAAATATTTTCAGAAAGGGGTGTTTGCATTTCTCAGTAACTGTAGTTCACTGACACATCTGGCTGATGTTATTGCCACTAGAAAAATGGTTTGCATAGTTAGCATGCGAATGTGGCAAGAGGCAATCAGCTTGAATGGTTTGCCCATAAGTTGAGAGAGCACCAGTGAGAGGCTCCACTGGGGGACCAGGGTCATTTTTTGTTTTTTTGTTTTTCGTATTTGTATCCCGCCCATCCTGAAAACGGGCTCAGGGCGGGTCACATCATCTTTCAACAATACAATAAGTTTAAAAGCACAATATAAACACTGGAGGAACTTTGTTCAGTAGATCTTTGATGAGATATTTTTATTTCTCTTTGGCAAATAGGGACTTCTGATCAACCTGAACAGGAAAACATGCCAGTTTGGTGTAGTGGTTAAGTGCGCGGACTCTGGGAGAACCGGGTTTGATTCCTCACTCCTCCACTTGCACCTGCTGATGTGACCTTGGGTCAGTCACAAGCTCTGGCACAGCTGTCCTTGAAAAAGAGCAGTTTGTGTCAGAGTTCTCTCAGCCCCACCTACCTCACAGGGTGTCTGTTGTGGGGAGGGGAAGGGAAAGGAGTTTGTAAGCCGCTCTGAGACACCTTTGGGTAGTGAAGGGCGGGATATAAATCCAATCTCCTCCTCCTCTTCGTCTTCTTCTTCTATAGTGGCTAAGTGAATTCAAATGGAACGCCTCCTCTGACTAGATTTAGGAGGTACTCAGAAACCTTTTCTATCAGGGAGTGGACTGCCCTGTTCTGTGGCCCATCTATTGTGGCCCATCTACCAAATCACTTCTACTTGGCTGAATATAAGCAACAGGTAGAAGGTTTTCTGGCATTAAGCAGAACCTCTCTGAAAGGCTCAGAAAACCGCCTGTTGATTATTGAATGAGCCACAATGTTAAGTGTAAACTGACAAAGTTTGGGTGGAGCAAGGGACCCTGGAGCAGCAGGTTGTCCTCCTGTGGGAGTGGAATGTAATAGCTGTGAAACATGGCTGTAGCATTGGGAACCATGATTGTTTGGGCCAGAAGGAACCTATCAGGATAGCAGGTGTACGTTCTTGTCTCATTTTGTAGAAGACCTTGGGAATCAGTGGTAACGGGGGAGAAGCAGTATAGCAGGCTCCCTGTCCAATGGATGTGAAATCTGCCTCCCATGGAGTGTGGTTCACATGCACCTAAGGAGCAGAAGGATTTGCATTTCTTGTTCTGACTGGTAGAAATTGATCTATTATGGGTATTCCCCAGAAGTGGAAAATCAGGGTTAGAAAAACCCAATTGAGCTCCCATTCATGAGGTGCTAGTGGGATGCGACTGAGGAAGTCTGCTAGTCAGTTGACTCCTGCTATATGAATGGCTTGAATGGAAGCTTTGTTGGGTGGATTAGGGTGAATATATGGCATAACAACTGGGAAGAGGTACCACCCTGTCTGTTTATGTAGTACATGGTTGTAAGATTGTGGTTATTTGTATACTTTTGCCAGAGATATGTTTATGTTAGGCCAATAGACCATTGTACACTACTTTGAGTTCCTGTGCATTTATGTGCAATGTGCATCTCTTGAGCAGAACACGTCCCAGAGACTCTCCCTATGTGTACACCTGAGCCTGAAAACAAGGCATCTGTAGTTAAGACAGTTTGTGGTAGGGAGGGGCAAAGAACCCTGCAAAGAAGTTGTCTGTTAGAATTCACCATTGTAGGGACTGTACCATTGGCCTTGGGATGTTCAGTTTTTTGAACTGGTGGTGGGGTGGGGGTGTTGAAGGTTCTGACAAACCACAATTGGAGTGGGTGCATATGTAGCCTTGCATGCAGCACCACTCAGGTGGTGTAGGTCATTAACCCCTGTAATCTTTGGATTATGATGGCAGGTTGAAATCATGACTTTTGGCATCAGAATACAGTAATTGCCATTCTGTAGGCTATAGGCTCTTTAGGTTGATGAGGTAGGTTTATCAGTAGTGACAGCTGGTGAGAAAAAGAATGGAGCTTCTGTGAACAAACCTCTCAGAGGCAGCAGAGAGAACGACCATTGGTTACTCACCGTGAAGGGTCCTTCTCCTCTGAGGCTTGGAGGACATCTTGTGGGTGATTCCCATCCATCAATTACTTCCTGTTTCCTGTAGTGGGAGTCACCCTAGGCTCAATTCTGGTGCTCCAAAAACAATACACTAACTTAACCACTGTAAAAAAGAGAACTTGAACATCAACAACAAGAGTATAGCCAAATCACAAACATTGGAACAGGAAGAGAAAGTGAGACCCCTCTCTCAAGTAATCTTATTATTATTATTTTTAAATAGAACTCTATAAGATCAAGTGAGAGTAGAATTATATACATAGAAAGAGAAGTATGACGACCCAGGAGGGTCAAGATGTCCTCCAAGCCTCAGAGGAGAAGGACCCTTCACGGTGAGTAACCAATAGCCGTTCTCCCTCTGAGGTGGAGGACATCTTGTGGGACCTCCCAGAGCAGTGTCCCTAATTTTTGGAAGGGTGGTCGTCATCAAGAGTTAGAACAGACTACAGTACTCTCCATCCGAATGCTGCATCAGCAGAGTCATACACATCTTCTAATGCCTGATGAATGTGGATAACGAAGACCATGTAGCAGCCCTGCAAACTTCCTCCACCGATGCCCTGTTGGCAAAGGCCATATTCGTTGCAGCACTGCGAAGAGAGTGGGCCGTGATACCTGCAGGAACTCGTTTCATACTCCTGTAGGCTACAGTAATGCAGGACCTCATAGTGTTGCTTATGGCAGAGTTAGACATCTTTCTCCCTGTGTGAAGAGGAGAAATGTTAACAAACATATCTTTTGTCCATCTGAAAAAGGCCATTCTGAGAATATAGCATTTGAGCGCTCTCCTCACATCCAGTGTATGCCAAACTTTTTCCTCCAGATGGGTTGAATTTGGAGAAAATGATGGCAAACAAATCTCTTGTGATCTGTGAAACTTAGTATTGACCTTTGGGCAAAAAAGTGGAATCTGTTCTCAGAACTACCTTGTCTTTGTGAAAAACACAGCTCCAACTGAATTGACAGAGTG